TCCGCATGGCAGCCCAGTGTCTGTGATCTTTGGCTGGGCAGCAATTTGATTGAAAAACCCAGCGGAGCAGAAACACATCGCAGGCGTAACAGGTTCGCATTCGGATTGTGGCTCGGATTGGAGCTGGGATTGGGGCACGGACTGGGGCATGCATGTGCCGGCAGACGTGCGATGGTGGCCACCTCCTCATGATTATGGCTGTGCAGCCAGCGGCAAAAACTTGAGCTGCAAAAGTTCGCCGGAGTGGCTCGATCTGCCCTTCTTTTTTGGGTGAATGTCAGACCCGGTGAGCTCAGTGACCCATTGACACGATATCTATGCACATATATAGTGGATTTATGTGTGCATAGCGCTTACAGCCTCTCGCCCAGTCAACCGCAAATTAGTTTCGAGTGTCTGGACATTTTGCAGCCACAGTTTGCGGGGACGGCATAAATAGATTTATTGAAATTTATATGTTCAGCACGTATTTGCTTAGCCTTCTGTTCGAGTGTTTGGTTTTTGGATTTAATGGCGGCAATTGCAGCTGCCCAAGGCAAACACGAATCGGGATAATCAAATCGAGTATACCACGCGTTGGCCGGCGCCTCAAGGTTAACCTGCCCGAAAATCCTGACCATGGTCAACAGACCTCCGAGTTCCGAGTTCGCAACTTCTGCTCCTGCTTCTTTGGAATTTTGTTTACGTTTTCAGCTGGACGCGACGGACACATAATTTATTTTGGCTGCGATGTCCTTGCGTGCTTTGTCTGTCTGTGTGTGTGTGTGTTTGTGTGTGAGGGGGGAGGTCCCTTTGCCCCGCATTCCTGCCTGTCAGCGCTTGCGAGATAAGCTGACTGCGAGAAATATGTGCCCGCTCCCTAACGAATGTGCGAATAATGAGGAAATGGAAGGCGTAGCGAATGCGGTGCTCCTGCAGGACCTCCCTGCCCCACTCCTGCCCCGCTCGCCACAAGAAGACATAAATAAAACGCACAACATCGACTTTAATTGGTCACGCCGGTCCATAAGAGAATGCGAATGGGAAAGCAAACGCGCACGCGGCTGAAACTGCGAATAGATAGTGGCTCCAGCTCTAGGGATGGTAATAGAAGCCTCGTAAAGAAATAGGCGAAAGATTTCGCCAAAGCTATAATAAAACGTAGAGTTTTAATCTAAACTGATTTTATTCGCCTCTAAATAAGTTTAAAGGCCATTCTCTAAAGAAATTGAATGACTTAAAATAAAGCACTTTGATTGGCAATATTATTAAATGCGGAGAAAATAAATATATTTTTTAGTTATTGCTTCAAAATTTTGTAAATATATGTTAATGACCTAAATAAAAAAATTATCGATAAATGCTTACCAAGACCACAAATGTTGTGTTTTTCTTACCAACTTTGTGATTGTAATGCATTACGTTTTGCTACATGAACTATAAAGTTACAACTATAAAATAGAGCAAAAATATGAATGTAAACCCTAGTAATATTTTTTACCCAGCCCCCTTCCAGTTTTTATCACCACCAATTATGGAAAATGACTGGTGAGCACGAGCACATCCCCAATGAAGTGGAGTGTCCTGGCTTCCTTCCTCACCGCCCCAGACTCTGGCTGCCGGCAAGGAGGTTAATATGGGCAGCTGATTTATGTTCGGCAACAGCAGAAACAGAATCGGAATCGGGAGCAGGAAAATGGGAGGGACAGGATGAGGGGCAGGAGCAGGAGCAGGAGCAGGAGCAGGACCAGAGCAGTTGCTACACGCCACGGACGTGGCCGTTTTGAGTAGCCGGCGCCAGACGCACGCGGCACATCCTTCATCCTTCGCCGCCGAGTCCGCCGGATTGCGTGGCTCATCGTCATCGTTCGCATTATAAATGATTTTAATAATTTGGAACGATTTGTTTAGTTCTGCATCAAGTCGGATAAACGTCGATGATTAATTAGCCGTGGAGGCGGCGAACTTGGAGCAACTACTCCGGCCGGAGGGCAGGCATTACATAAGCGTTCGCTGCCACTTTTATCGCTTCCGCATTTGAATGCCACTACTCCCTCCCCCTTGGTGTCCTTAATCAACTTTTTGGTTTTTTTGTTCCCCCGCCGCTGTGTTTGTTGATTCCCAAAAGCGAAAATTAATTGGCGCCCCGATGCAGACGATTCCCGCTCTCGGTTAATTGATAAATGGTTGTTTTCTAAGAGGGGCGACTGCCTGCTCCAGACATATGCAAATTTCTCAAAGGCTTGCCAGCTACTCCGTTGTTTGTGCGGATCGGATGATAGGGCCTCATAAATAGGACTTCCTTGGCTGTGCGGCTTAAGTTTCCCAGCTTCCTTACTGGATATCGATTGGAGTAATTACATTTCCAAAAGTTAATTATTCACACAATACAGCATTTTGAGTCTGCGATTTGTGTAAAACCAATTTGGGCTCATGCATACGTAAATATTTGCATTGAAATGCGAACACATCCGAATTGCAATTGTTGCTACTGCCACTGCCACTGCAAATGCAACTGCCACTGCTGAGCAACCGCACAGAATGCACACAGATGCATCTGTCGGATGCCGAATCCCCAACCTAATCCCAGGCCAAGCCCAAGTCAGTGGCTTCGGTGCGGTCTCCTCGACCGCTGACCTCTGGACGACCATTTATCTCCGATGGAACGCTGACAAGTGGGCATTAATTCTAAAAATGTTTGGGCATTAATTAAGGCCGTTTACTAGTTGCAGGTGGGGGTCCTGGCTCCAGTTTCCGGAGCCCAATCCCTGGGATATGCCTGTGCACTGGACACGCCTGGGCCAAAAGCAATTTGTTAACACTTGCATTATTGACACATTTAATCCATAATTGTCAGCATTATTTGCCTGGATTAATTTAAGGCCATAAATTGATATATATAAAGGGTTATGAAACCGCCATTCTCGCTCTCCGTCTCCCCGAGTGGCAATATTAAATATTTTTCAAATGTAATTTTACTCTCTCTTTCGAAAAAATGCGAAATAATAATTGCAGCTTCAATTTGCGTTTTTTAGGTTTGTATTTAATCATCGCGGCAAAGTCAAATACTTAATGTTTAATAATCCATAATTTGCATATTTATCTGATGGATGGTCAATGTAAAAACAGTCTGCCAAGAGTTAATTTGGTATTTATTTCTGTTCAATATTTCTCTATCGCGTTGATAATTTCTGCATTTGCACCCGTCATTGGGAAATTCAATTAATTTAAGTTGTTCACCAAATCTGCTGCATGGTGGGTAGCAAATAAATTAGATGACTCATTTGATAGAGAAATGCAGCCAATAAAATGTGATATCTGTGCGCCTCATTAAATTACAGTTTCTGCTTGCCTCAAAACCATTTGTTTAATTGAAAATTTCAAGAGCTTTAATTAAGTGCCGTGAGTTAGAAAAACCATCTAATTGAAATCCAATTGACAAGCCATCGAGTTGATGCATTCCCTTTGCCAGATAGTTGTGCCAAAAAAAGGATTAATTAATCAATTTACAGAGTCCTTTGCACTTGCCCAGTTTTTCTTCATTTTCCGCCCCTTCCATTGGTGATTTCTATGTGTAATTTAATGCACGGAGATCCCCTATCACTTTTCTTGCACCATTTGCTGCCCCACTTTGCACTGTCAACCTGGCTACGCACTGCAATTACTTAGCAAAATTAAAAACCCTACAATTTACCCCATTTAACGAGTGTGCATGGGAGTGGGTGGCAAATTAATTAAGGCAAAACTGCACCCATTGGATGACAGATGATGATTGTCTTCCAGGGACAATAAACATCCGCTCGCATTGTGTCCACTTTGTGTCAGCGCATATATGCCCGTGCGACAGGTGGAACAGGTGCTGATTAAATGGCTGCCGCGGGGATTAATAACCCCGCCCAGGGCCTCGATATTATCCGTTAAGCTGGAGGTGAGGCGAAATTTTCCAAATAAATCTTGTTTACTGCAAGAAAATATTCTCAAGCAATTTTTTCATTACCGACTCCTGTTTATTTTTTGCATAGTTTTAGGTGGGGGCATGCCGGCGGATTTTCATATAAAAACAATCGCCCCCGGCGAAGCTATAAATTTATTGCTGAACTTTAAAATACCAAGCCGCAGCAGCCACTTGCCCCTTAACACTTCTGCGCCGGCGAAAAGTCGACTGGGAGCCTGTATTTTTCGCAATTATCCTTGAAAACGCTGCATCGAGACGAGGCGAGTCAAGCTGAGGGACTGCAGCCCGAAAGTTGCAGCAGCGGCAGCAGCAGTGTGCCGGCGGAAATGTTTTTTCGCTGGGTGTTGAGTGACTGCGAATAATTTATTAGCTGCGTGAAAAATAATTTATGTTGAGTTTTCCCCTCTGCTTTATATATTTTTTCCCTGTTGCGCACAGCGTGCAGGCGGGGGCGTGACCGGTGGGCGGCGGTTGGGTTAACTTTTGGATGGGCAATCGGTCAGCAGATGCAGTTCTTCTAAATTAAACAATCTGCTTTGCTAGTTTTGACAGCACTGATCACAGTTTCAGAGCGACTGCTTTTGGGTGTCTAACTCGGCTACGTTCAGTTAAAAAAACCAAGTTGTGCGTAAAAAATATGTAACATTAATGTAGAATACAGTTCGTTACAAAATTGTAATAACTAACAAACCTTTGGTGATGACTTAATTGGGAACAATTAATAAAATTTCGGCATTTTTGGGTTACTTAATTTGAAAAAAATTAAACTTTTCTGTTTTCAATTATTTAAAATGGAAGCAATTGTAATCTTTTTACATTCATTGTGTGTGTCATTTCGAAAATGATGTTAATTTACTTAAATAGTGGCCTGATTTGGAATCAGCAAATTCATTCTTTTGCATTACTCATTATAATTAAATGAATTACTTCATCTCTTACGAAATTTGAATTTTTGTGTCAATTCAACAGCACATGTGCTTAACCTTTTCTTTAAGCTATCAACCGATCAAGCTATTTGTTTGAACTTCCCAAAAACAATATGTTTTTAAAATTATTAACATTTTATATAAGTTAAAGTCTGATATTTTATTAATTTATAATTATTACTGGAGTACGAATACATTTCACATTTAAAATATGACGAGAATTGCAACAAAGGTTAAAGAATCCTACGCAACTAAGCGAGGACATCGCATCTCAGCAGGATGCCAATCCTCCTCCTCCTCCGTCGATTGAATTGATTAGAATTACGTTTCGAGTTCGCATTAATGATTACAACTAGTAACTAGGTGTGGTTGGGTTCGGGACCTCCACAGTGGAGCAGCACCTGGTGGAGGCGTCATGGTCGTCCTTTCACTTCGTCCTGGCGCTGCGTAAATTCGATGCGGAGAGCACCGACCGCGGGGGTGGCGGGCGCTCCAGGTTGTCCATGTGGTGGCGTCTCGTCGACGTGGAGGACTCGTTCTTGCGGCCCAGTCGACTCAAAGTGCTGGCACTGGTGGCTCCATTGTGCGGCGGTGGCTTTCGCGGCAGTGTGGACATCTGCAAGACATTAGAAGCATAGAAAAACCATTAGAAAACATTTAAAAATAAACAGGCTTTTAAAAACTATTATCATTCTATTATTGTAACCTATGAATTTTCAAAGAAACCTAAGTAATACCTCGTGGCTTAAGATAAATAAATATTTATGTCTTTGTTTGAGGTGTTCAACATCTCAGCCCGGTGTTTACACCATCTGGGAGAAACCAAGAAGCAAAGCTTAGGGCTTTACCTCACAGCTAAAAATATGTTCGTTAATATGGCAAAAACTAATTAAAAATTCCGACAAATTTGTTCAGATTTAATTTTTTGATCACCTTTGTTCAGTGATTCTCAACCAAAACCAGTTGCAAATCATAGAGTCAAGCTGAAAACTAAAATGCTTGATTTTCGCTTTCATAGATCTTCATTGATTTGGAATTTTAATTTTATAAATGGTTCTAAATGTGAATAAAAGGTATTCATTATACTCACAGAAAATATCATTTCCATAGAAAAAATATTAAAGATTATGGAAACTTAAGGTATTTTCAAATAACATTTTAAAGAATTCTCTGGTTTAATTATACCCTTGCAGAGGGTATTATAATTTTGGTCAAAAGTGTGCAACGCAGTGAAGGAGACATCTCCGACCCTATAAAGTATATATATTCTTGATCAGGATCACCTCCTGAGTTGATATAAGCATGTCCGTCTGTCCGTCTGTCCGTCTGTCTGTCCGTCTGTCTGTTTCTACGCGAACTAGTCTCTCAGTTTTAAAGATATCGAATTGAAACTTTACACACACCCTTCTTTCCTTTGCACGCAGTATATAAGTCGGAACGGCCGGGATCGGCCGACTATATCCTATAGCTGCCATATAACTGATTGATCGGAAATGCCATAACTCTGCTGTTTGTTAAGTTAGGAAGTTGGGACTCTCTATGGGTATTATATTTGGCCAATCAATCCGACGTACCAAATTTCATAAGGATCGGCCGACTATATCCTATAGCTGCTATATAACTGATTGATCGGAAATGTCATAACTTTGGTGTTTGTTAAGTTAGGAAGTTGGTATTTTCTATGGGTTTAATTTTTGCCCAATCAATCCGACATATCAAATTTCATAAGGATCGGCCGACTATATTCTATAGCTGCCATATACATAACTGAACGATTGGAAATGCCATAACTTTGGTGTTTTTAAAGTTAGGAAGTTGGGATTTTTTATGAGTATTAAGAATGCATCATATGAATAATTTTGGAGAATATAATTTGCAGAATATTCTGCAAGGGTATTTCAACTTCGGCTCCGCCCGAAGTTAGCTTTCCTTTCTTGTTTTTTAAGGTGAAATCACTTTAATTGATTTTTCTAACCCACCCGCTTGTTCTGCTCCTGCGAGTAGTTGATCTCGTAGCCCTCGCTGATGTGCTTGGGCTTCCAGGGGGCCAGCATGGAGACGGACCTGGAGACGGTGCGGGTCATGGGCTGGAGGGGCGGCGGCTGCTGGGGCGCCTGCTGCTTGCCCTTGCGAAGGTCGTCGCGCGACATGGACCGCCGCCGCAGGTTGTATGGCTGTGGGATGTCGCCCACCGTGGTGGCGTGCAGATAGACCACGCTGCGCTGGCTGTGCAGGCTGGACTCGCCCTCGGTGCCGGAGCTCTCCGCCGGATAGCGATCCCTGCCAGGAGATAAGGATGTAAGTGGATTAATTATAGCTACATTAGAGTGCATTGCTCCCTGGAAACCCACCTGCCGTAGCCCACATTCTCCTGGCCCAAGCTGTTGAGCAGCCCGCGGCGCTCGGCACTCCTGGCCGGCTTTGGTGGTCCCAGCAGTGGACGATCCTCGATCCGCTGGCCACGCGGTCCGTCCACCGTCCGCTCCAGCGACATGGCCCGCTGTCCCGCCGTGCTGCTCCGCTTGTGCCGCTCCGCCGGCTCCGGCTCCGAGCCGCTCTCCGAGATGTCGTGCAGCTCGCGGGAGCGCGAGTAGTGGCGCCTCTTGCGGAAGTCCACCTCGTCGCTGCCGTTGTCCAGATGCTGCATGGAGCTGGCCCGCTGGCGACTGCCGTTGCTCTGGCTCTGGACCTGCGCCTGTCCAGCGAGCGAGTGGCGGTAGTCATGGGCCGGAGGAGGAGGACTCCGGTCCAGGTGGTAGGCACTCTGCGAGTGCTTCGACTGACCCAGCGACGGACGACTCCTGCAGAGCGTTAGGGCAAGAGATACACCTATGTTAGGCAACTATTCACCAAACTTCATCCAACAATTCCTCACCTGGGAAGGCTGGTGGCCTTGGAAATGGTCGGCGGATTTGAGTCCAGGTCGGTGTCGCCAAAGAAGCGCAGATTCTTGGCTGGGGCAGCTGTCGGATTGCGTTTGGTCCGCTTCAGACTGGAGGTGGTCTCACTGTGTCCATTGACAGATACATTGAGCTGGGGATCAGGATGCAGATATGGATTAGGGGACTTCGCTGGACGGTGTTGCTGGACACCTACCTCCTTGGGACTGCTCTTGGCCCGGCGGTCCAGCGATCTGAACCAGCTCGTCTTCTCGACCTTCGCGGGCGGCGACTCCTTCGCCTTTGGCTGCTTCTTGGGCGGCTTGTCCGCCGGACTGCGCTTCACCAGCAGGGGACTAGCTTTGGGCGTGGACAGTCGGCGTCGCATCGAGATATCGATAGTCTGATGAGGAAGGAAAAATGGGCGAGAACAGGTTTAGTTTCAGCATTAATTTTCATTTTTCCAAAATATTTTCAATTATGAAGCACTATTTTTTTAATTTCACAAAACGACATGTAAGCTCAATTTTTAAAAAGCCAAATTCGGTCTACTCTACTATTTTACTCATTTCTTAATTTTTGGGCTAATAAATTGACCAAAATCGTAAATCGTATATTCTTAAATACTTGATTTTAATTTTGGTATAATACTCTTTGCAGAACAGTGAACCTAACAACTTAGCACATGGAATTGAATTTTGAGTTGGTACATTTTTAAAGGCTGGTGCTTTAGTTATTTATTAATTAGAATTGGCAAATGATAGTAATCAAAGAGCTTAGATCCGAATGGTTATACCTTCGATGACCTCATCGTACTTAGTCTAGATGATACGTTGACGATAAAGATGTCTTATATTATTTTTTATATTATTCCAACTTCTTATTAAAATTTATTAGCTATACTTATTGTATTTGAAATAAGTACCAGTCTAGTACTCCCAAGCCCGAAAATAATTCCCACCGATTCTATCTATTCGGCATAAAAACGCCATGGGGTCTCCGTATTGACGACCAATTTGATCGATATTTTTCCCTATGCAGCCTAAGTTCGAATTGGTGGGCGGCTTGCTTTCGCTTTCGGGTCAAAGGTCGGCTTCTCCCACTGCCTCGCAACAGGTTGCGAATGTGGGGCAGGTGGCCTTTATGCGCGTAGCCACGTGGGGGAGTGAGGGAGAAGGGGAGTGGGGGAGTGGGGCCGGCCAATAAACTTGTTTTGCCATTTGCGAATGCGACTGTGAGTCGGCTCGTTTTGGCTAGCCCAATGCAACTTTGGCCCACTTGCGGTTGAAACTGTAATAGGTAATAGGTATCGGGTATTGGGTATTGGGCATCAGGCAGCGGGCGGTGGGTGGTGGGAGGTGGTTCGGTGATTGGTTAAGGCCGCCCTCCTAACTGGCCGAATATTGGATTTCAAATTGAATGGAGACTGCAGGTGCCCAACCCTCGACTAAGGCCTTATTGTGGCACCTAACAATAAGCCAGAGATTACGCACCCACTAAATAATTACGTATTCAAATATGCCCAGAACGCGACTGCGGGTCCCAATATAGTTTATGACCAAGTTGGGGGCCCATAAATAAACTAACAGAATTATTGACACAAATTTCTGCGGTTTCTCTTTCGCGTGTGTGTTTTTGGGCATGTAGAATCTGTGGAATGAATGGCAAGCACTTAAAGATTTCTGCGGAACACTTCGGGCGGCGTGTTTTTATTGGATGCCCCCATGAATAATGGCAGCACATTGTCCCGGGCAGCGACTGAGTCCCGGCACCCGGCTTCTTATAAATACCTCTATCACGCAAGCATAATTTTTGACAACGGTCCGAGGCGGCCACACCCTGGCCCGAAACTCCTGCAGGATGGGCTTATCCAGCCCCCTTCCCTCTCCACTGGAATCGGTCCCTTAAAGCTGGCTGATTGTAAGCGTTTTGGGCCGCCCACTTGGCACATCCGGCAGAACGAAAAGTGGCAACATCCTCTAGCCCTCTTAGACTTGGCCAAGAAATCCGCTGAAGCATTGCAAATTGGCTTGCAGCACGCAGCCGCAGCAGCAGCAACTGTTGCAGTTGCAAGTTGCGCAATGTGGACAGCAACACCTCGGCAACAGTAGCTCCAACCGTTTTGCATCGGAATCTGGGCACAAAACCGAATCCGAATCCGAATCCGAATCTAAGCCCAGTTTATTCAATTTCCCCCGCCTCGATGTTTGTCGTTTCGCTGTCAGCTTTCTTAATTTGCGAGCGCACTGACAAACGGACTGACAGAGTGACAAACTGACTGGCTGCCTGAATGACAGAATGACAGCAGCTGCGTGGGTCTTCCACTTCTATATCTCACACACATATGCACACACATCTATATGTATATAGCCATGCTTCTCCCGATGCTCGACCCTCGACGCTTTTGTTCTTGCTCGAAATTTATACGACGCCTCGTCGCTGAATTGTTTAGCTTTTTTCGTGTTAGCGCTTTTCGTTCCGTTTGCAACTCTATTTGGCCAGTTGTCGTTTATTACTTAAGCGTAGTCGCGAGTGTTTCTTTATGGTCTTGGCAGCTTGATCCCCCCAAGAATTCCCCCCGACAGAGATGTGCCCCAAAGTGGACGTGACGTCTGTCTTCTTGGGCTGGCACCATTTTCGGCTGGCCCACGACGCCCACCAGGCTGCCAAGAGACTTCTGACCGGAGCAGGAAGTGGACCGGCTGGGATCGGGGCAGAACAATTGGCCAAACATCGGCTGGTACTCGGACCCAACTCCTACTGCTACTCCCCCAAAGTGTATGGCCCATCGACGCAAGTCTTGATTAATTCGAAATTAATAATAGCCGACCATGACCAAATGAGCCGACGAGGGTCTGGAGCCCGAGAAACGCTGTGATCTTGACCAGCTACCCGGGTTAATGACCGCCGGCTGGCGCCATCAATTGGGCATTAGGCCAAAGCGGCTCGCAGTTGCACAACAAAAATCATTCATACGTGTGGTATAACATACCCCGATTTTCACTTATCATTATGTTGCCAACCAAATATTTCTAATCCACTTAAATTAAAAGTGTTTAAATATTCATCGATTGAAAAATATGGTTAAGGAAAATAAAATCAAGTTATTTATGGAGCCAGGAATTTTAAATTATTGCTATCCAACCCAAAACCTAGTTCATTTCGACAGAGGAATGTTTTCTAACAATAGTATCTGCTATTTGATCTTATCGCATTTTAAAATAGCATAAGGAAGACATTAAAATCTAAACTTTTTAAATCTAAATAAATAAATGTGTTGAACTTCTTTCAATATTCTGATGTCGAAACATAAATAAATAATATTGGTTAATGTAAATTCAAATTCACACTTCTAGTTATCAATTCAATCTGAGTTTACTTAGCTGATGTGGTTATATTAAGCTTTAATTCTTTTTAATTGACATCAAAACATGGTTCCCACCTTACTTGTTGTTGGAACACCTACCTTTGGTTCGCGTGAGGTCTCCTGGGCGGAGTTGTGATGCTCGCGGTACCGCGACCGCATCTCCTCCTCTCTGACCATGTAGCGCTCCCTCTCCCTCTCCCGTTCCTTCTCCTTCTCCCGCTCCTTGTCCTTGTCGCGGCGACTGAGGGTGCTGCTGTTCCCGTTGCTCATCCGGTCCTTCTTGCCACTGGACACGTTGCTGCCGCTGCTGCGCCCGCTGCCCCCGTTGCTGCCGCTTCCGCCGGCGCCCGTGAACAGCTGTTTGACCTTCTCGAAGCCACCCAGCTTCTTGTTCCGCTTCAGGGTGCTCGAGTCCTCGCCCTTTTGGGTCTGGGACGGGGTCTGTGACTGGGAGTGCTGCTCCCGGCGACGCAGAGTGCTGGTGGCCACCGGGTACTTGTCCAGGTGCGGATCAAAGTGCGAGCCGTCGTCGATGGATCGTTCCCTGTAAACGTAGCTGTGCTCGTGGCGGAGGCGCGACGGCACCGCCTGCCTCTGCAACTGCCGCTGCTGGGCGCTGTCCCGCCGCTCCTTACGCAGAAAGGACTCGCAGGCCCTCATGTCGTCGAGGGCTGTGCGCTTGCGCCATCTGAATAATCATAAAAAGGGGCTTAGCATAATAAATAAGAATGTATAACAGTCGAGGATCCCGACTTTGACATATACTCTTCTGACTGGTCTGCAACAAAAAATCGTTAAAGAAGAAAACTTTTTACCAGTACTTTAAGAAAATACCTTGGTCTAATACTTAGCAGTTTGGTAACGCTCTTGGCCAGATAAATAAATGTATTATCAGATATTTAGAGAGACCTTTTTTATACAAACGGAATACGTTTCCATTGGGGTTTCTTGGGGTTTACACCCGTCTAAATTTGTTATTTTTGTACATTCTCTAGCTGTTAAGGTTACTGACACGGATGGATACGGCCTATTCGACTCGTCTATTAATGCTGATAATGCTTATATAGAATTTACTTTATAGGGGTCAAAATCGCCCTTTTCTCACCCATTTATAAATGTATACATATAGTAACTGGTACTTCCGCTTACCTCGTGGTCAAGTCTCCATTGAAGGACTCTTTCCGGAAGTCGTTTTCGATCCCGGAGTCGCCCTTGTCAAAGCTCCGCTGCTGCAGTTTGTCCCGCTTCAGGCTGCTCTGCCAGTATTCCTCCCGATGATCCCGCTGTTCGCGCTGCTGCGTCTGTTGGGCCCGCAGTTCTGGCGAGGAGCGGTACTGGTCCGTCAGCTGCGAGTCCAGGCTCTTGGGCTCCTGCTCCAGCCGATCCGCCGAGTTGTAGTCGCGCTCCCGTTCCCCGATGCGCTCGCGATGCCGCGACTCCCGCACCTGGCCATCCCGCTGGGTCTCCCGCACGTAGGTCTCCTTCACCCCGCCGTGCCCGTCGTCGTAGTACTTGGTGTGCCGGTAGCGGGAGGTCTTCTCCATGCGGGGCAGCGTGGCGCCACTGTCCACCTGGGATCGCTCCGGCGGATACTCGTGCGACAGCTCCTGGCGCACAGGACGATGGAAGCGCTCCGGGTCCCGCTCGGGGGTGGGTCTGGCCGCCTCCCGGTTGCGGTCCACCTCCCGATGCCGCTCGAGGGTGGCTCCCTCCCCGAAGCGACGCGTCAGGATGCGCGTTTCCAGCTGGGCCCTCCTGTAGCCCAGCTCATCGAGGTAGGGCGAGGGACTGACGCTCCTGATGACCGGCACGATGGGCGGCTCTGTGCCGCGGCGCGGGAACTCCTCCTCGTAGTAGACCTTCCTGGGCTCGTAGCCCAGTCCCTCGTCCTCGTCGCTCAGGTTGCGAGGACTCAGCTGCTGCCAGGGCGAGGGCGAGTGGCTGGGCCTGTGGGCCAGCGGAGCGCCGTTGGACGTGGGCGAGTAGCTGGGCCTCACATCGCTGGCCCGCGGCGGACGGGCCGGGGCGAACTCCCTTTGGGGGGTGCGCACATCCCGGTCCAGCGGCGACCGCCGGACCTGATCCTCGCCCAGGTCCAGCTGGGCGTAGGTGATGCCCTCGTTGGGCCTGATGTAGGAGAAGGCCGGCTGGCTGATCGCCGGCTGGGGGGAGAAGCGCTCCATGGAGAGCCGCTTGACCAGGCCGTCCACGGTGCGGCCCTTGGTCAGCGGCAGACGCTCCGCCGGCTGCTGGGAGCTGTGCATGTTCTCGCCGGACTTGGCCTGCAGCGTCTCGATCCGGTCGCGGATGCCCGCCGAAATGGAAGGACCGCCCGACAAGAGGAGCGGTCCGTCTAGCTCCGCCTGGGAGCGACTGCGGGCCAGCAATTCGCTCAGGCCGCGCCCGCTCTCATCCTTTTCGCGGGGCGTGACGGCGTCTGACTTGCGGCGCTCCCGTTCCCGGAAGTAGTCCCTCTCGAAGAAGTCCTCCCGCTGCGCCTGCTCGATGATGGGACTCAGCTGCTGCTTGGACTGGCTGCTGCCGGCTGGGGCCTTGTCTTCCGCTTTCCTGTTCCTGGCTAGCTTGCTGCTGCCCACATCACTCTTGCTGCGCACTAGACGCCGGGCGCCGCCGTCCTCGAATCGCGGATCCCTGTCCAGCTGGCTGACATTCGAGTCGCTCCTGCGGCTGAAGAGGCCGAAGATCGAGGGGCGCTTGCTCGTCGGCTTCTTGGTGGAGGCGTCGCTGGCGCTCCTGGCCACCGGCTTGCCCTTCCTGCGCCGCGTGGGCAGGGAGTGGAAGTCGCTGGGCTGGCTCTGGCGCCGCTGCTTGGCCCGGAAGCTGGGGATGTGGTCGCCGTTCTCGGCCTTGCTGTGGTGCCGGCCCGCCTGGGCGATCACCAGGGCAGCCTCCTTGCGGATGTCCGCGGGATCGATGTCCTTGGGCAGTTGGTGGTAGCTCGGCTGGCTACCCGGCTCGTACTCACTGGGACGCTTGCCTGCAAGAGGAAGGAGAGGGGCGGGGGATTAGCTTGGTGTTGCAGAGGCTGTTCCGCGAACTAGTTGGCATTCATGTAAAGACAAATTAGCACATTAGCCGGCGATGATGTAATATCTGGCAGCCAGCTGTGGCCAATTCACACTTGCCAGCTGCTAAATAAGGCAGCCCGTCCCGTCCAGTCCAATTCGGTCCAAGAGTTGCGAGACCGCCGTCTGACAATGGAGCTGGCCCACGTCCGTCCGCCGAGATGCCTTCGCTTTGTCGTTTGGCGAGCGAGCGATACTCGCATCTCGTGGATCGCCTGCTCTGTAATCGGACGCTGTAAGCGCTAATGGCCGCTGCGGTCCCAGTTGATCTATCTCTCATAAAGATTCCTCCACTTCCTCACTTTTTTCATAATCATTATTATTTAATACGCCGAAAACAACAGCAAAGGGGCCACGAGAACAAAACAGAAACGCCAAGAAAAACGTGCCGAAACGAGCATCATCATCGTGGCCAGAACGAGATGTGCTAGCCGAGATGCGTGATCTCTCCAGTCAGCCAGTCAGCCAGTCGGCCCCTTTTCCGGCCAACTACAGTCTAGTTACACAGAAAGAAATGGGAGTACAAAGTCGATCGGCTGTAATTTAGGTCAAAATATAAGAGGGTAATTTTTCTCTTCCCCTTTCATTTTTTGGCAACTCTTTTGGATTAATGATACTTATAAATTTGTTATAACTAAAAATGAGCAAATATTTTAAATGTACTAAATAGTAGCATTTTTAACTGCATATCTACATATTAACTTCCCAGATCTACACAAAAAAACTAAAATATGTTACTCTTTTAAAACAGGGGAAATTTTATAAATAACAATTTGTGAGAAAATCAAATTAAAATCTATTTTGCGATCCAGTTTCACCAGTCTTATTAAAATCTAAAGCAAAAAAACCACAATTGACTGGAAAACCTGATTTAATAAGTAAACTTTTTTCTGTGTAGCGCGCACAACTCAGAACTTTCAAGATATCAGATCATCGAAGCCATCTCTTTCCTGCGCTGACCTTGCCCCGAGATCAACTGGACTTCTGTTGCCCCACCTGGACTCCTCCGGCGGTGGAGCACTGTCCATTCACCTGCACAACCTGTCACATTCGCAGAGCTGCGGAGCGAGAACCGCTCCCACATTCGGTTGATTCGTGCTGCAAAATGGCAAAGTGACACCGATGTCTAATCGAAATTCAAACAACAATGAATAATGACAGAGCTGGGCGTGTCGTGTGCCAAATTGGTTTAGCGGAATGGGATTGGAAATGGGATTGAAAATGGGACTGGGTATAAAGGGAACATTCTTCAGGTCTCTTTGAGAGACTGTGTTCCACAGGTTCCATCTCCATCTCCGACTGCAATCAGCTGTCATGCGATATGTGTCAAGGTGAAAAGTTGGCTCGCTGCACCACCATGATGGCTCACTAGTCTTGGCCAACTTACAAGGTTTCACTTGCGAGCCGGCGGCGTTTTGTATCTTTCTCGTTGCTTTTTGGAGGCAACAGGAAAACATAAATTCGCACTAAGCGACAGCATCAATGTCGGCTAACCGTAAACAGTGCCAAGTTCCCAAGACCCTAAGACAATGATCTCGGGGCGAGTGCAGCATTTGATTGATTACCAGGCGCTGAGAGCCATTCATTAATCTAATCATTGATCCACTTAGTGTGACCACGCCAACTCAGCGGGCTCTGTGATTTGCAAGACTATCCTAGGCAGTTCCAAGCAATGCGATTCGATGCAATCCGATCCGAGGCCGAAGGAGCTGCGAATTTTAATAACCTTTTTCTGCTCTGGAAAAGCTGGCGATAAAGCATCTGATCCACTTTTCCAACTGGTCTGCCTCTGGCGCCTGCCAGTTGCAAGTTTCGGCCTCGGTTCCGGTTTTTTGGTAGCTGCACATAATTCGGCTGTCGTGATAGCTTGGCGACTTTGCCCCAAACTCACTGACCAACTTCGGAGCCACGCACCACAGAAATAAGTCGAAATTCGACTCATATAAATAATGATTTCTCGACTTTTTGTGGCAAGACTTTCACTTGCCGCAAATGCTTACAGGAGCAGGTCGGTGGTTTTACTTAAGTTTAATGATATCGCGCGGTAATTGTCTGGCGAAGATGATGATGCCGCTGGTGGTGGTGCTGCGACCTCCAGTCCTCGGCTTCATTAAGGCAACCACAACCACAAAGTCGCAGAGCCACCACCATCCCATCCCACTCCGTTGCCCGTCGATGGCAAAACGTTTTAGTTGGCAAAAATGCTTTATCCCCCGCTGGCCATGTCAGTGACAAGATAAGGTCGAGCCAAGTTGGCTAAATGGGAGCTCACCCGCATTCCTCCTCCTCTCGCTACTGGTCTAGGCCTGCACTCCAAGAAAACACTACGCGTTTTTCGTAAGATCATGCATAAACAAATTTCAATTTACTAAATGCCTTGGTTTAATATTTCTTTCGTACGTTCAGGGTTTTAAAATAAATAAACTATTTGTTTACGTCTTAAAACTTACACATTTTTAAATGCGCTCATGAGTTAGAGATAAAAAACAGGTAGATGGAACTATAGCCACTCAATAATTAGTCTAAATTTAAATAAACTAACATATAACATTACGTTTAAATTATTTTTGTCATTTACAGGGAACTTCACTAAAGGAAAACTTTACTAAAACTAATGATATTCCTTTATTAAATTGATTTATTTTAAGTACGAAACAGAAGAGTTCTTAAGAGACAGCCAATTGCCTTTTTCTCAAGTGTAAGTCTAGGACTGGCATGCTAAAGATCTGCGTAGGTTGCCATGGGGTATTTCAATTAACCGGGCGCACTTTCGATTTCATTTAAGGGCCTAGATCGCCGAGCTGACGTTCGGCTTTATCTGGGCCCGGGGACAGGTCGCATTTATTTTGCGTATGAAAATAATTTAATGCTCCCCGGCTAATCGTGGCTGCGGAGCCGGGACTCAGGACCTAATCACATCAAAAGCGGCGCCGCGTCCTTGGGGCAGCCCAAGTATGCAAATCAGCGTGTTGCACTGCAACAGCGGCCGTGGCCAATTAAAATTGTTCGCTGGCCATTCCCGCATGGCTTTCAAAACAAATACGAATGGTAACTTTCGCTAAAGAATGGAGCCGATTCAAAAGACTGAGGCGACAAACTTGTTTCTCCCCCTAAGCGGCTGTCAACAGCAACAGCTATAGCTTTGGCTATAGAGGCGGCGAGAGCGGATAAACAAATAACAAATCACCGAAAATAAAATAAAGAAAAACCGATCCATTCGACGAAAAAGAGTTAAAGAGCTCTAAAAATAATCTGCGACTCATTTCAATACACATTTCGATAAACAAATGACGCAATCGTCTGCAATTCCAAGTGATTTTCTGTTGCGACAATTGAAGTTGGGCACACGAGGATTTGTAGGCGAAGGCGAGTGGATGATCGACAACTCCATTTAGCCGAATTTACCCAGGTTCTCGACGAATTATATATTCGATTTGTATGTTCCCCGAAGCGTCTACCGCCCTCTCTCCCGTGTCACAAAGCACAAACACTTCAGTTTCAGAACGATAATGACAGGCGGGCCAAGAACCTGACTGAGTCCAATATCAAAAGCGACTGAAAGCAATCTCCGGCGAGCGGACAACCAGTCGACAACTGCGACTGCCTACGCCAATGTCACTCGGCAAAAATAGTAATAATAAAAAATAACAGCGAGAAAATAGTGCGAAATTTGTGGGCAGGCAAGCCAAAAATGAGACTTATTAATTAAGTTTCTTTCGCAAGGCAGCGCAGCGCAAATAAAACAAAACGTATGCAAATGATGGATTAATAAAAAGCATAAATGGCATTTTAATAGTTGCCTTCCCAGCCCAGAAGACCCAAAGATGGCACGAGAGCAAACAGAAAAACCAGTTGGGGCTTTGACAAAGTTCGCACTCGAGAGCCAATCAAATGTGGAGCTGGCTCAGCTGCGCACACAAATTGTGGAGAGTAGGAAACGTAGCAAATCTCATAATAATGACTTGCTCTTTGCCTAATTAAATTAATTAATTAAAGGTGTACGAGCTCATTAGAGAGCAGGCATAATGGGGGAAATGGAAGTGTCTGGACGGGTGGGGTGCGGGCAGCATTACGCAATCGGCATCAGGAGGGGCCTACGCCAGCGAGTAGTCAAAGGTGGACTTGTTCTCGCAACGCCTTTTAAATCAGCCATCTGAAATTATGTCATCGGCACACACGCACCTATATGTGCTATATGCGCTATATGTGGGAAATCGGACAGACAACTGGAAGGACGTCGACTTGGCCCGATTGCCAGATTTCGAACAAAGGAGCCCCGTTTCGGCATCGCATTGTTCCCTTGCCTTTTCTCGCCCGTCACCTGTCCGCCTTCGAAAAGCTGGCTAAGTGCATCCACCAGGCCCAAGGCAGAACAGCTGCCGACCCGACTCGTCTTGGCCAAATTTGTCGCTCCGCAAGGTTGATCACGCTCGCAGTCGCGCAAGCGAGGCTCACCTGTAGCAGCGCGCTGCCACAAATTGGACGAGGCTGAAATTAGTCGTCTTTTAGTTGATTTCTTACAGTCAACAACTTTGACTTTTGACTGCACTGTAATTTAGCAGAAAATTCACATGTTAACTTGCGGATGAAAAATGTTGCCTTGTGCCCAGCGGGCGAATAATTTTCCACAAGCACCCAGATGGCTGTCGTCTTCGCTTTATCTCGCTGCTTTGTTGCGTCAAAATTAAATCATCATTAAATCTGTGCTTTACACATAATTGCCTTAATTTGCATGCAAAGATAGCGCAGAGCGAGAGACTGAAATTAATTTTCGACTCTCGGTTAAATTACTTTAAGCGTTTGTGACGGCGGAGATAATTTGGTACTTATGAGACTATTTTGCTAATTGTAGGCATAAAATCCTTTAAGAAATTTAAAGTTTTATTCTTCTAACACAAGAATAAAATGAAAATATAATTAGTGGTGTGGGAAAATAGCTTAATTAAGCTATATAAATTTAGACATTTAAAATAACTTTTCCTTTTCTTACAAAAATGTTTAACCGACAAGTGCAATCCTTCAACCATACTTAACCTACTATAATAATTTGTCTTTAATTGACTTGTTCAAATTTAATCAGGTCCCTTTACCCCTGCCCCAAGTCACAAGCCTCTTAACTTATGTTTTCGTTGACCTCGTAACCATACAGAAATCACAAAGCTAATGAATCGTGCCTGGCTGGCGAATTACCTAATCACGTTACATTTTGGCGACCTCGACTTGTTGCATTTGCCTAAACCAATTCAGAAATTGCAATTAAGTTCGTTTACGTCCATTAAACGAGTTATCCGAAATGGCAGCCATTTGATGCAATTACGCGACGGGAAATCTGGCTCACAACCATTTTGGATCTACGCACCGGCAGCTGGCCAAAAGGACTTGCGGCTAATTAGCCATGGACGGCGATGACCATAAGGAAATGCCAGTAGTCACTGGCAGTTCTAAATTGGGGGGACCGTCTAAAAAATTAACATTTGCGCCGGTTTAGTCATAATCAATTTTTAATTTCTTCATTCCCGACAGCGGCCATAAATTCAATCCGGCTATGAAATAAATCCCATGTCGCTGCTGTCGCGGCTGCCAGACATAATCATAACAATAATAATATAGTCGGAGCTGCTGAGACAAAGCGCCCAGATGCAGTGAGTCCGTCCTCCCCCGGAGCCCCTGAAGCACCCGAAACCCCCCTCCTGGAGGAGATGTGCAAAATGATACCCCGGCGACGAGAGCGAGCATCTCTCGGCTGCGACTTGTAATGCCTTATAAAATATCAACTTATTTAAAATAGTTATATGGGAGCTCTCCACTTTACGCCAGTCTGTGTGTGCGATTATTCTCAAGGTAAACTACATTTTATTGTTGGGGCGGCTTTGTTATTATTATTTATATTGCTTTTGGCATTCGTTCTGGCTTTATTCGCCCACCAGCGCGAGGTTTCTTTTTGTTTTTCTTTCTCTTTCCACATATAGCTTACTTGTTTGTTTTTCCTATTCTTGGCCAAATTTCAAAAGCTGTGTAGAAAATGAAGAGCTTCTCCGCACAGCAGTTATGCAATCGAAGGTGGAAAGCCTTTGGCCAGAACTGGCTGGCCAAGCTAATGAGTTGCATTCGCGTGGGTTGTTAGCGTCCGTCATTGATTGACCAAAATTGGCCTACTCACACAAATATACGGGTAAGTTTTTCTGATGCCACTTGGTTAGTAATTTTTTGTTGTTAGCTGGTTATTGATGAGGTTTCTTATGGCTGGTTTTTGCTTAGTTTGTCATTAGAGATCTTTGTGGGTTCGTGTTGCCGCTCTCATTCGGCGGCTGCGCGTGTTGGTTATATGTTTTTAATTTCTGGTTTTGGAGGTGGACTGGGGTTACGATTGTCGGGGGAGGTGTTCCTTAACCACGCACTGACCTATCCGCTTCACGTGCACATCCCGATTAAAGCTGACCCGCGGTCCTCCATTTGCGGCTCCAGTTTGCATCTTAGCTCAGGGATGGGATCTCAGGGATATATCCTGCTCTTGGGCTGCTTTTGTGGCTGCTTCCTCTGGCTCTGTCTTGGCTTTTCTCTCTCCTGTCGGGTCTTCGCTCGGAAGAATCGCAACCCTAAGTAAACTCTTTGTGTGACAGTCTCATTTGTTTGAACTGTTTGAACTCTGCGCATTTTCCATTTAAGCTTGGCAATTTAAATGGTTTTCAGCTGCAAGAAGAAATAATTCTCTAAGTAAACCTCTTTTTCTTGGGTTATTTGTGTTATTTGATTATTTTTCCTGTGATTAACCAGCATGAGTTTAGTTTGCAGCTCGTCGGTTAGCCTAGTTTGTTTTTCTGATTTCCTTACGTAAGGTTTTTTAGCTCGTTGTTAATTTGTATGTACTGTACACATGCGAGTGTGGACTTTGTCAGAGAAAGTATTATTAAAAATAAATTAGTGAAGCCAATTGGTAAGAAGTTTCATGAACGACATATTAAAATTGGGAAAAAAAGAAGAGAAAGAAGTTTTAACTTTACAGGATTTGGAAAATAAGAAGCTTAAAGTACAATCAGAACCAAAAATAATTATAACTATGATTTTAGTTAATAGTTTGCATCGCATTCTCCGACCCTTGTAAAGTTAACATGTCCGTCCGTCTGTCCGTTTCTGTCTCTCAGATTAAGAGCCTGATGTATGAAACTTTACCAAAATACTTATTTCTGTTGCATGTGTCTTATAAGTCGGATCGTGCCGAATCGCACGACTATATCCCACAAAAACAAATCGAAAAAATAAATGAAAATTAAAATGAAAATTATAACTTTGTGGTTTTTCAAGCACATTTGAATAAAATTATAATTTTTGTAACAGATGCAACTTCAGCTTGCCAATGTTGTCTTCCTTTCTTATTCTGGATTCTTTCGATTAGCTTGAACTATACATATACCTAATATAGGCTATACCTGCCGAAAGAGTATAAACATGACAGCAGTCAGAAAAGTAATGGCCAATTAATTCTTATTCTTATTCCGATTCTGATTCCAAATCCGCCGCTCACTCTGACTGATTCCTCAGTTTCGGGAGTGGGCACAATCGAATTGAGTTTTTTTTCTGTATTTTTTGTTTTCTCTGACAATTACAAAAATAGACACACGACGAGGGTGCTTGGGCTGCATACGAGATTCAAATTCAGAGGGACGGGGCGACGTTGAGTGGGGAGTGCCTGAGAGAAGAAAACTGCAGAAATATTGATTGCGATTAAGCAAACGCGATAAGATTCATATTTGAATACGAGAGTGCAAACTCTATTTAAACAATGCATTATGCCCGAGGACGCTCGGACCGCGCCGCTCCAGTCTGCACCCTCCCGTTCCCCGTCCCTGGATTCCCTCCAAGATCCCCCAGAAGAACGTCCAGTTTAGACGACTGCTCCATGGACACGCACCCACCCAAAAGCACACATGCACAGACTGCGAAACAAGGGACTCCCGAGGGATCTTTGGACCTAATCAAATATTGGATACCCTTCTTGGGGGCTGTCATTTTTTTGAATTAATTGAAGTTTTCTAAAGTTATTTGATTTTCACTGTGGACTTTTAGTATAAAAAGTGTTTTATATTTATTTGCTACTTAGCATTTATCTTTGTGACAAAATGCTTTTTTTTATAATTAAATCTAAAATATACAAAAGACATTACAAGGAACGCAAAAAACTTTTCCAACCCATATTATCTTAATGTTTTAATGTTTTATAAGACAGGGAAACAGGGTCTTATAAAACTTTAAAACATATAACAAAATCAAAGACTATATTTGTAGTCTTAGATATTGTGCCAAATCATGCTTGCAGAGTATAACAAGGAGCTCGGTAATGTGTGGAAAATGCCTGTCTATTATGGCACCTGGACAAGGACGAGGCCGACTGCTCATTCACTCACTGGCTTACTTACAGGCGGCAGTCCTACAGGCTTCAGTCCCGGCTCAAACCCCGACCCCGACCCCGAATCCGACCCAGACCCAGACCCAGATACATCCCCCGACCGAAGAGAAGGCTCTAACGAGCACAATCGCCCGGCTAGACATCAATGACCACGTCGTCTGTCTGATCACGGGCACCGATGCAGCCCATTGCAGGGGAAAAACGCTGCGAGCTGCCAATAAAAATCCTTTACCATATAATTTGAGTGCGCATGCGTGCGCCCTGACGTTGATGGGACCCGGGTTCGAGTCCAGACCAGGCCAAAACAGACCTAAACAGACCAGACCAGACCAGACCAGACCAGGCCAAGATCGGATGGGATGGAACGCAGGCGCTTATGCGCAATGCTATGCCAGATGCCGATGTCCGATTCCCGATGCCGATTGCCGAGCGTTGATTGCGCCATGAACGTGATTTGTTTGTAAACACGCATTATTAAGGTGTAATAAACATAAAATTTGTATCGCTTGGCGGACCTTGGAGTCGGCTCTGTAAGTTGCAATTGCAATTGGGCAGCTCGCCATCCGGGCCGCACATCTTTCAATTAAACTAAAAAGCTGGACACCCCGCCACTCCATTCACAGCTCGCATTTGCATGCGTCTGGGGAGTAGCTAATTTCAGGCGAAATTATGCGAAATTATACGAATTACGCCCGTACATGTGGGAATGGGATTAGATTAGCGCGCTGAGTAAACAATTTAGCTTCCCCCCGCAAGCTGGACCGCTCCACAGAACAATAATCGTTCTGAACTTGAACTTTAACACGGCGGTAATGATAGGAAATCCCAGAATCCGAACCCAAACCCGAACTCCACCCAAGTCTGCCCCATTCCTTCGCTCCGCCGCCCTGTCAAGTGAAACCAAAAGTGCGCAGCAAAGCAAACAAACGCCTCGACTTTTGCCCACTTTGCGTGTGTTCTCAGCGCCGCGGAGTCGATCTGACCTCTGGGACCCGCCAGCCGAGGGAGATCGGCCAGGTCCACTGGGAGAACGGAGTTGGCCAAAAACAAACCCACGCTTTTGACTGATCACTGCTCAAATTTACATCATTCAACTTTATTTATTAGTTCCTTTTAAGACGTTTTGTAATTCTATTTTACTCCTATTGCTACAATTTTCTTCGATTTCAATTTATTTTTTTTTGGGGAATTTTAGTTTTAAAAAGATTTTAAAGACAGTCTTAATTTATTTAAATAAATATTTTCCCGTAAGGACTGCTTTTGAAACTATTTTCATCCGCATATTCTCTTCAGGTAATATAACTAATTGTTTATAAATAAATTATTTTAACAAAATACTTATTTAAAACGTAAAAACTTTTTCCCCTTTCAAAGGAAAAGTCGCCCTTATTATTTTTTTAGATAAATAGGTTTTAAATGTATATATAAAAACAGTAACATTTTTAACACACTAAAATTGGTATACAAATTATAAATAATCGTTTATCCTTGATCGATATGGTAAACTTTAAAATTAACAATTTTAAAAATTATTTATTACATAATCTTTATAAAGATTGCACAAAAATTTTATTTGTTTAATTTAAGATAACCTATTTAATTGATACATTTATAAATTTATAAATTGTATTGAATAGTTTACAATATTTATTAACCATAAAATTTCTAGTTAAAATTTTACAAATTACTATAAAATTGTTTTGGGTTTTACTTGCACTCTTTTCTCGCAGTGTCTCAGCCAGCGCGGCCTTTCGTATAGAAGTGAAAATGAAGGTGTAGTCCAATTTGTAAGTATGGCCAAGCCCTGTGGCCATTCAAAGTCCATGTTATGCAAAGATCAGAGCAGCCCCGGCTGCCCACCGCCCCCTGGAATGCTGAATTCTGGATCCAACTCCCTCTGGAGCGGAGGAGCCGGGCCAACTGGACGTTGTCTAGCGATGGAAACATTTCTACATGCGTGCCTCGCCGCTCCGCCGCTTTGTTGGTGGCGCTCGTTCGCGTCTTCGACTTTGGCAAATACTTAATTGCATTTCGATATCTATGCCGAGGCATCTGTGAGTGAATGCCGCTGCTGCCTCAGCGGGCCGACCGGCCAATGCCCAATACCCAATACCCAATACCCAATGCCCAGTACCAATACCCAATACCCAATACCCAGTGCTCCAGACGGCCGAGACGAGCGGACAGGCAAAGAACGCGCCGGCGCTGTCTTTGGCCAGGAGTCGCAAATCGAGAATGGGGAATCGCGAATCGAGAGTTTGGGCCAGGCCAATGCCAGTGCGTTCGGCTGGCTTGGTTGGCCTGGTCTGGTCTGGTCTGGTCTGGTATGGCTCGGGCCTGAGACCCTGGCAACTGGCGTTGTGGGTATTGTCAGGTCTTACAACTAAATTCCCCTTGAGCCGAGCGCTTTACTAAGGAAATTAGTAATTGCTACTCCCATTTAGAGACATCTATGCGGGCATCTATGTACGTGTGGCATTCGCCAGATGATGACGATGACAAGTTCCCCGCTCGGAGATTGTCTGGCGATTGTCCAGCGCCCACTCACAATCGCGCACATTGGCGTCAAGGAGGGGGGTTGGAATTATATTAGAGCTTGGCTCAGCATTGACCGAACTGAGTAAGAACGAAGACTTTTTCAGATCAAACAGAAAACTGCCGACCACAAGTCTTAAGACCAAATTTGAATTGAAAATGTACTTTTCAAACCATGTTTTTAAGGGCAAGAAAATTGGTCAAGCCACAAAATCTTGACTTTTGTCTTTATACAATAATAACATTTAATTTCCAGTAAAAAATGACCGTTAACGTTTTGGAATTGGAATCGAATAGTTCTATTTACAGCTTTATAATTGTCCCTAATAAATTACATATTATTACAAGTAGTCAAACTAATGGTTTCCTTATTTCAAACTTTTTATCGAAAAAAGGTAATTTTGAAAAATTACATTTCTTAACTTTTCATACCGAAAGGAAAATATTAATGATCTGCAAGTTCGACCTCAGCAGTTTGGTAACATTCCTGGAATCAAAAACTATATAATTATTCTTGGTGAACGTTCTTTAACCCCTTTTAGCCAACGACACTGATTCCGCCTGCCAATGCCAAACTTGGTCACATTGTCTGTCATCGTTTTTGTTGCCGCTCCGCTGTCGTTTTCACGCTTTGTTAGCCAGCTAAACTGTATCTGTATCTGTATCTGAATTCATACTGGCCGGGAGGAGGAAGCTTCCCTTTTGTGCCAGTATCTCACACTCGGACTTAGGCCACTATGTATGTTAGAAGGTTAATCTGTGCGGCATTACGTGGCAACTTTTGCGTGCGGTGCGGCAAGTGTCGATAGCATAATTGCAAGCTGTTCCCAGCCAGCGAAAAATGTAAATCAATTTCTTTGCTTACATGTCTGGGTATTTTTTGCATGATTAATAATGCCGAGCGGCCTGGAATCGCCGGCGGGCGCGAAAGAAGACAAAAGATTTCACTTTTCGAACTCATAATTAGCCCTGGGAGTGTAAGTATATCGGAGGTGATGGAGCGCTGGATTCTATCCATGTCATAGCTGCTGGCTGTGCGACTCCTAACCTGCACGGAAATCAATTAGGCACCGCCGCGATTGGACAGTAGAGAGTTCAGATCGATCGATCGATCATAAGTCAACAATCGCTTAAAATGCGACCAGACGAGTAACAGCCAAATATGTAAAAATGGAGGGGAAACGTCAAATATTCCAAAAGATTTGGTGATTTAAAATGTAACGAACAAATGATAAGAATATTTTCACTTTTGATTTTTCAAAATATTCGGGCCACCAAACAAAGTAATTTACATATTAATATTAAGAGTTGTTCCCTTGTGAAAAAGCTGTACCTTCTTCACTAAGTTGCGTTTTGGACACTTGACCTCAATTAGAAAAACTTTTAACTACTTAGTAGAAAGGTGGCAAAACTAAGACAGTTTGGCTAACTTAAAATAAATATAAGTTTAAAATTTGTTTCAAATAAATTAGGATTTGGGAAATTGTCATTCTTTAATTTAATCCCCAATCAAATTGTCTTACATTTCGTATTGTGTTCCTTTCTTGACCAGTTGGTCAAACTGAGTAAACTATCTTAAACATTAATTTTTATAGCACACAATTAAAAAAAAGATATTAAAATCCCAACCTTCCATATTGCTTTAATTCTCACGTGAAATTTTCTCACTTCAGGACAACTCCTGGCGCCACTCCTCGCTCCCCATCACTCCAACTGAATCATCTGACTGTTGAATTCTTCGCTCGTTATCGCTGAATTCGCCAACAATTGTGCGCAATTATTGGCCAGAGAATCCACGAAACACGAAGCTTTCCCTGGGAAATCAATAAAGGAGGCAGCGTCAAAAGTTTCCGGCAACGAATCAAGCGCGGTGGCAAAGGTCAGCCGGCTCATCTTGAAGCCAGAAAAAAACAGAAAAAGCGGCCCGGAGCCAAGGAAATCGAGTGTCTCGTTGAGTGGGAAAAGGGCGAACTTGCACGCGATGCGACGCTGGCTGGGAGCCGTCGGTTTTAGCCAAATGCTGGCTTGGCTGCCAGAGCTGCCTTCTTTGGGTCTGTAGTGCATGTCATAACCAAACGGTGCATGCGCCATCTTCCGCCTTGCATAAGACCCCGGATGGTTTCACTTTCCCGGGGTAATTAAAGCCGGTCGTCCGGCTAACGGTAGCTAAATCGTAATTTATGCTAATTTCAACTCGCAGATCGCTTAATTGATCCGCGTTAGATTCGATTTCGTTGTGGCTTCGATTGTCCGTGTCCGGGCAGCCGAATGGTGCTGGCCTAAGCTTAGAGTTCATTGATATGCAGTTCGATTCGGTTCCATTTCCATTGCCTGGCCAATGTTGTTGACCGCGAATCAAAGTCGCATACTCGTCGGACTGGCATACAAAGTACGCTTTCAACACGACGGTCTTTCGTACGTTTTTGTGGGTAATGTTTTGTGCCCCTCAATTGGGTAATTCGGGGGGTGGATGGGGGCACGGGACTTATGGCATTATGAAAGCGTTACAAATCTTCGCTTTGAATACGACACTCCACTCGAACTCGAACGCGAGTCCAGTCCAGTCCAGTCCACTTCAGATGGGGCCGCTGTACGTGATAAGGCAATGATGATGACGACCCATCGTCATAGACCAAATCGCGTCTCATTACCATTTCGGCCATAATCGATTCAGTTTTTACTGGCCTGTTTTACACCTAATTTATGTGCATGTAGCAGTGTCGCTCGGCCAAATGATATCATGATGAACGGCCCACGTCTTGGGGGCGATCCGATTCTTAGAAATTCGTAATTGGCTCGAGATGAAAGCGCCCCAAACAGAGCGAAACGGGCGAAACTATCGGCCAATACATCAATTTAATGACTTCATTGAAAGCCCGTCCGGACCCCAAAAAAGAAGAGCCCGAAAATCCATTTCGACTTCGGGCTCTTCCAGCTTCCCAGAGTTGCCGTTTACCTGTTTCCCAGGGCGTCGAGTTGCACCTGCTTTTTGCCCCGGCGACACTTGATATCCCCCAGAAAGGTCAGCTTTTGAACTCTGGGGCCCCGAAAAAAGAGCAAATTAAGCCAAACGAGCGTGTCAAATGCCGCTGATTTGCGGGGGAAGGCGCAAAAGTAAGCCCAATTGAGACCCAAGTACTTCCGCAGCGGTCTGTGAAGTGTCGTATGCCATTTACCGTTCCGTCCGATTCGATCCGATTCGATTCAATTCCCGCGATCCGACTTCCGCGGAAGAGCCCCAATGCCAGCCGCCGATGTTTGGGCTTTTAAATCAAATGCGACCAAATCAAATAATTTGTTAACACTGCCGCTTAAGTCAACAGTTAAAAAATCAGCGATCGACGGCGCTTTCAGGCCGATTGCGCCACAGACATTGACAGACATTGATTTTTAAAGCCATTTTGTGAGTTTTGCCCGGCTTTTGTTTGGCTGTTGAACCCCCATGGGCAATTAAAGCTGCACGATGCCAAAGTGAATGTGCGGTGAGCTGCGAAGATCGCCTCGCACTTCCATTCGATCGCATAAGCGTAAGGTCACCAGGGAGTGGGTTATAGAAACCAAGTCGAATCGACCAACGAATCGGGAATAAAATGTGTGATTTAACACAATCCTTAATTTAGGCATTACAAAAACTCTGTTGGAATTTGATATATGGTCTTTGAATGCCTTAGGTCAGTTTACGACTAATAAATTTCAACTGGTTGGCTTACTCATTGCAAGAACCGCTTTACCCTGCTAATTTTATTACTTTCCCTTAATAAAATCAGTCGCGAATTCTTAAGAAAACATATCCCTTAATATACTACACTTTCGATATACGAACAGATATACCACCTGGACCGCCATTGACCTTTTCAGGTCAAAGCAAACATTTTTTGGAAATGCTAAATATAACTCTTACTTTTTATCTTTTATTTCAAAAGTTCACTCGACTCAGTTAGTGAATAAAAAGTGACACAAACTAAACGATTTGTCATCATAAAATTCACACTAATCGTAGTAAGGAAACTGACCCAAATAAAAACCCAGACTGGGCTCTAAGCAAACTATTGTCGATTAGTTTTAATGATTTGTATGCATTTGTTTGAATTGTTATGTTGGAATATAAACGATGAGCTTCGAATGAGTCGGATATTGAAACTAGCGTAATAGCCCCAGACTTATCTAAGAACCGAGCACGCTTGTTGGTGCTAAGCAAACAGCTGCATTAGTTCCGAGAATGAACTCTCTGGCGGCGACGGTCTTTGATCGCGGTGACTAATTACTGAACCCGCGTCGCGTCGTAGGTGTACGTGTTAAAAGCCGGACACGGACACTGACTCAAAGCAGGAAGCTCCCCGGGTCACAAGCGAAATCGAATACAAATTAAATACAGAAAATCGAAATGCTGGCATCGCCTCATGCACAAATACAAATCATCCTTGACGCATGCACACCAAAAACGGCAGCCCGAAAAAACGAACAAAAATATCGGAGAGCTGGAAACTGAAAACAAGATAATACGGAGGCAACGCAACTCCCAAAAACGAAAATGAAACAAGCCGTAGGACTGCATACAAGGCAAGGCTGTAGACCTTTTTTGGCCACATCAACAAAAGCGGCTTTTTGAGAATTTTCAATTTTTTCAACCGCCAACCAACCCCCACCCTGAATGCGTCCCTCCCGATCGGAGGCTTCGTTTAAATTGACGTTTATTTCCAGACGACGGCGGTCGAAACTTTCGAATTTTTGGACTTTAATGAGGAGTCGAGTTAATTTGGCCGGGCATTTGAAGAGGCTCACGACGCATTGGGGATCCTGAGCTGCAGCTAACAAAACGAGAACGAGGTGTTTACCAAGGCACCTACAGAGACATACATATATACATTATATATTTAAGAAGCTTCGGGCATCCAGATACAAGTGACGTCATGGGCCTGGCATTGGCATTGAAACTCAAGGTTGGTTTGTTCGAATCTTTTGGGGCAATAAACCGTCTCCCACGCACAAAAACGAATTTAAGAGAATTAGAACTGGAGAGGCGTCCTTAGTCCGAGCGGCTTTTGTCCTCCTCTTGGAGATCCTGCCAGAGCAGAAAAGGCCGCGATATGTATTGGGAATGCTTGGGATATAGATTGGACAGGGCCAGCAGATCGCCTGCCACGACGATGAAGATCTGTGCGTATCGCACCGATGGTAGGCCAAAGAACCAGGTTAACGTCTTCTTCGGATCCATTTTTTCTAGTTTTATCTCTGGGGCTTAGAATATATCTGCTTCGAGACTGATTCGGCTGAACACTAACTCCCTGGCGATAAGGTTTTCGATTCCAATTCGATAATGAATGTCAAATAGCCTGAACCTGAATTCAAATGTGCCGATGCTGGCCAATTACTTATGTATATTTTGCCAAAAAACCACACAACACCCATAAATATAAAATTCCAAATCGAATTAAAGCCAAAGCTAATGTAAATTTCGCATTTGCAATGCTAATTCGTAAGAACCAATAAATAGATTGCTGAGGGTGAGCAGACTTGAAAGATTCTCGTTTCGAAAACGCTAAAACTTTCACTCAACTCGTCCGTCATCATTGAAAAATGTTTGCTTTCAGTTAAGCGAGGCCTTCAGAATTCTATTTCCGCCCAAAACAATAAAGACGCTCGCATTTGCGGACTCGGTCGAGTTTTTATTAACATTAGAATTGGCTATTGCTTATTAATTTGCATCCCCATTCAAAAGACCCGCCGAAGGTTGTTAAGTGTATTTGTTAATGTTAATGTTAATGTTGCCCGGGAAGAGAGGGGCAAAGAAATGGTGAAAGAAAGTAGACGGCAAAAAGATCTTCTTTGCTGAACTCGAAAATGACTTCCAATTAACCAGATCGGGCGAAAGGTTGAGCGGATCAATCAGAAACTTCAACTATTACTCTGACTCACATTCGGCGCTAATGCGTTGGCGACTGTATTCTATATACGGATATGGAACAGTCACACACACCCACGAAAGTGTGTAACTGGGACACTATTCGGGGGTCGTAAAGCCCACTGCAGATCGTTATTGCGATTACGATCCGAGGCTGAATTATTCAAGAGTATCGCTGGAAGAATCGCACAGAAGCTTGGTTTTAGTAGGGATAGTCCGGAGTTCCGATTCGGTTTCAGTTATATTCGGTTATCAGAGCAGAAGCATCTACGGCGTTAGCTGGCGGTTTTAGGGTGGTTCTACTGTACAAAACGATCGTCGACTCACCTCAAAACAGCATTCCTCGTGCGTTAGTGTGGGGGAGAACAAACGTTTTTGCAGTTCTAAGTAATTTGCGCAGTTCTAATTACGTTTATTTTGTATTTGATGTGGGTTCGTATTTGCGGCTTTTGTTCCCCGTTGGTTGTTATTATTTCACTTGCCAAGTGTCGTCGCGAAAATTTACTTATTTGCAATTTATATTATTCGCTCCAAAGGCGGTCGAAGTTGGAGTTTTGGAATGCACGTCAAATTTTAATTAGTCGAAAAACGTTTGCACAATTTAGCGAAAATTTATCACGATTTGTGTTTCAGATTTTGTGTCGTTTTGCGTGGGTTTCGCTGAACGGTTGAATGGACGTGCCGATGGTCGTTGGTTGTTTTAACTTTATATGGTATTGGCAGGGAGGATCGTACGATATATCCTCTTTGGCAGATGGGCGCTGGCCAGTTCGTTTGTTTTTGACTTTATTTTTTTAATATTTTATTGTTGGCAACTGCGAACGCGACGCAGTTTCGTTTTGTTGCAGAGCAGAATCGCAGGCTTTTCTCCGGCCCAAGTGATCGCGAGTACGTCTGAGAGCCGACTGAAGTCCCGAGCCAGCGTTTTGGCCAACATCGCTGCCAAAGCTCGGCGCAGAGAGCCCCAGAGAAAGAGAGGTAGAGAGAGCTTAAGTCGAAGTAACAAGTGGCGCAGCAACAAGTAGCCGGTGTTTGCAGAGAGCAATCGAGAGCCAGTTCGTGTTCTGAAGTCTTTCGTTTTGAGAATATGAATCAAATCAAGGTTCGAGTACTCACTCGAAAACAAGTGAAACCAGATCGCCCAAACATTCTTTGGATGTTTTCCTACGCGCAGGCCAATATGAAAATGATGTTCCTGCCTGTTCCGTCTGTCAACCAGTTTCCACTGGCTTCTGTTCGGTGACCCTTTGCCAGGTGCTCCTCCGCCCTCTACACTCCCCTCCGCCGCCACCCGGTCCACTCCCACTCATCAATCACTAGTCATTAAAGCCGAGCACTAATTAATTCATCTTCTAGATACGATCGAGCAGGGCGCTAATCCCAGGCCACAAAGGTAAACAAAGCGTAAAATATGCTCAAAACTTAGCGCTAGAACATCTCCTACAGTACCACTTCTGTTTCTCGATTTTTCCAATGTCTATTTTTTTGTCAGACAGTTATGGGATCAAGCCGTAAACGTCTGAATATTTCAGAACCGAGTTGAATGCTTCAACTTTCAGTTATTTTGGTTAAAATATAACTTTGAGAGAAATTCAACGATCATTTCGCTTAATTGCATTTAACTTTTAGAAAGAAGTTAACATCTTTTACTTTAAAACACTTGATACTTAAAAACACTACATACTTATTCACTTTATGTGACAGCTGTTTCTACTTTTTGAAGCCCCTCTGTATTCACATTTTCATACATTTGCGCGTTTATAGCCACACACTTGAATATTTGAATATCACAGTAATTAATCAAAAAGTCAGAGAAATAAGCAGCACATACAAATAAATCATCGATCGTCATCGTCGGTCAAGAAACTATAAAGCACGTCCACTCCACCCTTTCAATCCGTACCCCTCTTCCATATCAAAGGAACCCATTTTGGTTTAATAAAGTTGTCAACCCACGGTACTGGCGTGTGAAGCACTCTTTGGCTTTACACAAAGAAAAAAACAGTCGTATATAACTCAATATTATGTATATTAAATGATGGATATCCTTTTTACAAACATAATTTTTATAAACTCATTGAGAGACACAAATATTACTAAAAAGATTTAATTACACATCTTCTTTCAATATAAAATGGAATCTCAAAAAATGCAGATTTCGTTCAGTGCACTTTCCAAAATAGTCAAGTGTTCGTTTTGCATTCCGCCTTCGAGTGTTTAATTGTACGCCGCATAACGGTAAACATAGCGAGGGTTAGAGAATTTTTGGACGCCCCATTAAAACACATTTTATGAATGAAAAGCGGGATGCGAAAAGCTCGACGTCTCCCCTGAGCTTTGTTTTAAGCCTCAGGGGAGCTTTGTGGAGGAAACCCGAAAAGTGCGCGGAGCTTGCGAAAAACACATTTCCCGCAACACATTTTCCATTCTGTTTCTTGTTCTCTCTGAGTGCGGTTTGCGTTTTATTTAACACGTGTTTATAGGCTTTATTAATATATTTTAATTGCTAGGACGGCTGTCGTTTTAAGCAGTATAAGTAGTGAACGTAGGACAATAGCGATTTACCGTCGCATTGGTATTCATTACCAAATGTCAAACCAAAAATGTGCGAATGGCATCATTTGGCCAGGCCAAAAAGTGAAGCCCCCTGTGATATAAGCTGGTCACAATGGCCATAAAAAGCTCCGTGGCAAGTGAATCCGAGCTTTCGTCCCGTTAGTCGCGCTACCAGCTGACCTGAAGCAACAACAACCTGTGCGGGGCAACAAAGTTTCGCGCTTTTTTCGTCCAAAGTTCATGGTCAGCGTCCTGGTGCGGAGGGGGATCTATATTCGCTGACACACGCATCCTAAAATGGCCCTTATTCGCTGCTGCTTTGAGCCACCGGAACTGCCGGAGTTCTTCGACAGCTTCGTGCAGAGATGCACGGATCCGAGCTGTGAGTAAACAAGCCTATTTCTTGGCTTAATACTTTTTACGAAGCCTGTTGAAATAGTTTTAATTACACAAATATATTCTACTTTTAAAAAATGAAAAGGATTCACTGCAAAAATAAAATGTTGATTCGTCTTTTGATATTTTTGTTTAAGTAATATCTTAAAAAATGATATTTTACTTAATAATATAATTAGTATACAATTAGAATTTTAGTTTATTACCTGGTAAGGCTTCTGATTTTTATTAAAACTTCGACTTGTCAATGCTGGCTTCCGTTCTCTTTTTTATTTGAAATCGATAACAATATTTACTTGTAATTTATAAGTTAAGTAACTAGTTATCACAACATAGAAATATTAAATATAAATTTGATCTTGGAAATATAAAAACACACAAAGATCCCAATCATTTAAAAATGCACAGTGGGCATTATTCATGATTCCCAGAAGAAGTATTTATTTTACAGTACGACAGTGTTTTTACATTTCGATGCTAAGCATTATTTGCAAGCTCTCCTCGCACGGTCACACTGCGTTCCTATCGATAAGTTAGCCAAGAGTGTCTCACCTACAAAAGGAAAACAAAGGAAAAGTGATTGCCTGCGCTCTTTTATCGCAGCGTTTTATTATCTAATGCCGCGATAAAGACCCCAAGACGCCAAAATGCCTGGTAAGCGGTCGGCGGCACAGGTGGTATTCGCTTAGCGTGCCACGGGCCATTCAACCAGATGACCTCGCCACCAGTCAATGCGAATTGCCAGCAATGACGACACCGACAAATCGATTGACTGACCCGGAGTTGGGTGTCGTTCTAAGGGGCCGGATGGGCGGGACGGGTGGCGGAAGCCATCACCCAACCAGCGATGAGCCGTCCAATCACTCAAACAGCGAAACTGTAGTCCACTAGAGCAATTATCGCGATAAGATTAAGCGGAAAATGGTGGTCGCACCCAGTCGATCCGACTCGGTTTTCACACCACAACCACCACCATCACTCTTACCAGCGGAGCGGTGGCGCCATGTTCACCTACCGCTGCATCCACGTCTGCCTGCCCAATCCCTCTAACCGCTGTGCCTTTCCTTGCGCTCTTTTAGGCTGCTGCGGATGCTGCTCGGCGCTCAGGCCGCGCTACAAGCGCCTTGTGGACAACATCTTCCCGGTGAACCCGGAGGACGGACTGGTCAAGTCCAACATGGAGAAGCTGACTTTCTACTCACTGAGCTCACCGGACAAGCTGGACCGAATTGGCGAGTACCTGTACCAGAAGGCCACCAAGGACATTAACAGGAAGCGCTACAAGTAAGTGGGTGTACAACTGTCTAGGGAATCATCTAATTTGGGTAATCACATAGGCTGGCCGAGATCGCCATGGAGGCCATGGACTTGCTGCTGCAGGCCTGTCATGCCCAGACCACGCTCAATCTGTTTGTGGAATCCTTCCTGCGCATGGTTCAGAAGCTGCTGGAGGACTCAAACCCCAACCTCAAGATAATGGCCACAAATTCGGTAAAATCCTGCCTTAAATCACCCCAAACTAGGCTCTAATCCTGAACCTTTACTTTTAGTTTGTGAAGTTTGCCAACATCAACGAGGACACACCATCCTACCATAGACGCTACGACTTCTTCATATCGAAGTTCTCCTCGATGTGCCACAGCGATGCGGCTAGCATGCGGGACAGTCTGCGTCTGGCGGGAATCAAGGGCTTGCAGGGCGTTATTCGAAAAACAGTGTCCGACGATCTGGTGGAAAACATCTGGGCGGCGGAGCATATGGAGAAGATTGTACCCTCGCTGCTGTTCAACATGCAGGTGGGTGCTTTGGTGTTTTGTGCCCTGTACAGCCGTTCGGAGATGGATGCAGCCATCCATTCCAGTTGTCTGTCCCATTGGCCAATTATTGTACTAATTTTTATGTATTTTGCATTTCGTTTTCGTGTATTTTGTTAATGCAAACCAAACCCAAACAACCACAACACAACCAACACACAACAACAACCAAACAGTTTTGTGTAAACGTTATGTTCGTGAAGAAAAATTTACTGGCGGTAATAATCGAATCGAATTGTTCCATTACATAAGCATATTACATAGTGAACGCTGATTAGCCACTTAGACCGTCTTTATAGAATACGATACTAATGTATTTTCTTTTGCTGCAGTCCGGGGATCTTACGCCCGTGGAGGACGCTACGAATGTGACACCGCCGGCGTTGGCCGAAGAGGTGCTCCGGGAGCTGGTGGGTCGCGCCTCCTTCGGACACATTCGCAGCGTACTTAAGCCGCTGCTGACGTAAGTGGTGTACCCGGAAACATAGTTATCCGTTGGTAATCAGGGGTTACCTTTCTTATTTACAGTCACTTGGATAGACATGAGCTGTGGGTGCCTAACACCTTTGCGATTCACACGTTCCGCATCGTTATGATCTCCATACAGCCGCAGTATTCTTACACCGTGGTGGAAACTCTGATGCAGCATCTGGACAACAATTTTAAGTCCTCGCCCAAGACGCGCACCTCGCTGGCCGTAGTTCTGTCGAAGATCATCGCCATAGCAGCAGGAGAGAGTGTTGGGCCTTCGGCCCTAGACATTATCAACAATTTGCTGACCCACTTACGGACCAGCGTGAGCACAACCAGCGAAATCACACCCGAGGAGTCGCAGTACCAAGAGGCGCTGATTAACGCTCTGGGCGAGTTTGCCAACCATCATCCCGACTATCAAAAGATTGAGATCATGCTGTTCATCATGAACACTGTGCCGGATCTGTCCAAAAAGAGCAAGGGGGATCAGATGCTGCAGAACATACTGCTCAAGTCCCTGCTTAAGGTGGGCACCCAGTACAGTACCGTCTCCTTTGAGAAGGCCTTTCCAGCCTCCTTCCTGCAGCCGCTGCTCAAGATGGCACGCGCTCCACACGATCCCACACGCATGGTTGTGATGCAAATCTTGCAGGCTCTACTCGACCGCCACCAGAACGAGCAGGTGCTTAGCAGCGTCAGCGTGAAGCCATATCCCGCGCTCTCCCAGGAGCCGCCCTCGCGTTCTGACATCATTTTCACGCACAAGTACGGCGCCAACATCATGCAGGCGCTGATCGATTCCATGGCGCTATCTGATCGGGTTGACGCCCTGTCCTCCAGCTTCAACACCGCCGCACTGCTCATCGTCGAGATGTCGTGCAATGAGACCGTGCAGGAGTTTCTTTTGTTTATTCTTGGGTAAGGTTGCATTTACGGTGCTTACTATAATTTGACTAATCCATAATCGTTTTACCTCCCGTAGCATTCAGCAGGTGGCCAACACCGTGGACACCTTGGGAACCGTGCATAGGTGCAGCCTGCACGCCATCTCCATTGGCCTGTTGGTGCTCATCTCGCGGGTGAGCGGCATCAACAACCTACTGGAGTACGCCCAAAAGATCGTCGAGGCACGGCGCGAGGAGGCCACCCACTATTTACCTCCGCTGTTGGAGCCCAAAAAGATGTCAGGGAAGATCTTAAATCTTTCGCTGCCGCATCTTGCTATTGACAAGTTGGCCCTGGGTGAATGCCTGCAAAACGCGGGCATGGATGCGCAGCGCTTGAACACGGGCGCTCCATATGCGCTTAACCAGACCGATCATCCCGGACACCGCCACTCTTGGGTGGAGTCAGTAAGCAACCAACTGACGCAGCGTAACAGCTCGGCGGATCTTACCGTCTACAACGGCGATGGAGACAGCGTGAGCAGTTCTCCGGGCGTATGCAAGAAGCTGCTGGCGCCAGAGTTCAATTTTGATGCCATGAAGCGGGCTCTTGCCGAGCCGACGGAGACTGTCAAGCGGGAGCAGCGTGAGCGCCAGATGCAGATCGTTCGCACCTTCCGCGAAGGCGAGTTCGATGATCTGATAAGACGCACAGAACCAAAGGTACGTAGTGTGCTCCAAAAGTCTGGAAATTTTGAGAAGGTTTTAAAATATAAAATATTAAGCCCCGGGATGAAATCCGTTTATTTCAATAAAAACTTATAAAATCGTATGATTATGAATAAGACTTTATCATCATTTGAACGAAGGACAGCGATTCTTGGCGATTCACAAATGAATAATTTCCGTAGCTCTGACCTTCTGGCACTTGTCCATTTTTATAGTAATTTCCATTAAGCACACTCTAATTTAAGTGTTAATCGGTGGCTTTTATATTATATAATATGTATACCTCAATGCACCAGAGGTACACCGACTATTAATACTATTTCCTTTAAGCGTAATGAACGTACTTAAAAATTCCATTAACATCGCGAAGCTGTATGAAAAGTTCGTAAGGTTGTGTTTGGGTCATCAAGTGAATCTTCTTAACATCGCCGAACCCATCCTTGTAGTCCTGCAAGTTGCGAGTAAAATTAACACTTCAGTCAAAGCGCTTTGAGTAATAGTCCATCCTGGTGTGGATGACTCAGTTTAATTTTGTAGATGCCATTTCGCCTTCCACTTGGGCAAAAATATATATAATATATTTGTTTTTTTGATCTCGAGAGTGATAATGATTCTCAAGTTTTTGTAGTATAAGAAAACAATTTTTTTCAGATTAATTATTTTACAGGCTAAATTCAAAATACAGATACTCACCAACTCAACAAGAAAGAAAGAAATTTATGTTGATTTAACTATAGTAAAGATGTTAATATCGTGCTTTTCTTCTATTTCCAGCACGATCTTATCCAGAACCGCCTGAACGAGCTATTTAACTCACTGGCCGTGGAGCGTCAAATCACCCAGAGCGACACTAAGGCCGCTAGCTTGCAAGCTAGCAACGAGAAGCCCATCTACGAAACAAACTTTCCCGAACTTTTTTACTACTAAACTGTATTCCTCGATCCGGAAAACTTTCCGCCGAATATTCTATACTCAATTCGAATGCGAATTTGTTTGGTGTCTGTAAGGATCTAGTTAAATTAATTAAATTTTCCGTTGTTAAATGCAAACAATTAAATTGTTAAACTATCTGGGGATATGTACTTTGAATTAATTGTTATACAAATAAAATCATATGTAAACAAGTATCTTTCAGAGTTTTTTAATCAGATATAATCAAAATTCTTTCCCAAAATGGGACGTGCTGAAAAAATGTGTACGGGAAAGACGGCATGTTGCTGCCTTGTCTCCAAGGCGACGTCGATCAGTAAACATTCGATAAAGAGTGGCGACAGATTCGCCTTTCGAGGCGATGGCACTGGGCGCAATCCCTTCTTTCGGTTTCTGGCCCACTTCCGGAAGTGCTACAAGGATAGGCTTTGCCACTTACCCCCGGGCCAGGTAACTCTAATGGGCAGCAGGGTGTGGAAGTGCATGACTCTGGCGGAGAAGGAGCCCTTTATCGCAGCCGCCCGCATGTTCAGCTACACGTTTCGATCGCGGAGCAAGAAGGTCAACTGGCTGCTTGCGAAGCTGCGGGAATCTGCTGTTGAGCTGGAATGTCAGGGCACGGCGCAGTGGATGCTGATAAACGGCATCAAGACCTGGGAGCAATGCGTGCTGAATGATCTTCTAGACCGTGGATAACAATAAAAACAAGGGAGAGTAGAATTAATTGCAATCTTTAATAAATGATCGCTCAAGGTAATTGTTACTGTGCGTACTGAAGCGAGTAAAAAATGTGTTAGAGAAAGTTATTACATGCGTTGAACTAGAAGGATTCGAAGACGCTAAATCATAATTTCTTTACAGCGTTTCTTTTTACTTAAACATAACAATCAATCTTAAAACTTCGAATTTACAACTATATGAAACATCTAAATTGTGCGAGGGCACGAGAGCGTGCGTCTACTCTAAACAAGTAGATGACGTTAAGCGCTATTACAAGATACTAATGATGTAAACGATATACAAAAATATAGATCTGCGCATACCAAAACGATCGCCGATATGCTAATGTTCAATGTACAAACGTTTAGATCAGATCGATTAGCCGTAGCTGATCACGATGGCGAAAAACGAATTTACAATTACAACTATAACGAGTCCCGGCCTCTGCGGGTAAATGAACAGAAAATGGTGGTACTGGTACTGGTGTTGGTGGACTGCTTTGAGGTTCGTGCTCAACACGTCATTTGGCCGTAGACGTCGTCCGTTTCGCTGGCCGACCAAGTGATCCTTGCCCGTGGAGCTGGCGAGGATGGTGTCGAGGGCTCCGAGTCGCCAATAAAGACCGCCGAGTCGTCGGCACTGGACGGAGTCAGTGGTCGCTCGCAGTCCGCTCCGATTTCCGAAATGGGTATGGACAGCGACGTCGTCGGCTCCTCGCTGAGCGGAACAATCTCCTTGAAACTCTGATTAGGCGGCATCACCACCAGCATATTGATGGAGATAAGCAGGGGATGAACCAGCTTTGGATCAAGGACCATCAGCGGTACCTCCTCGTTCTTCTCAAGGCTAAGGGAGCAGATCTCGGACGTCTGGGTGAACACTGCCTGGCGCTGGGCGTTTATCGAGGTCACCGTGGTGCGGACCATGAACTTGCGCTTCGTCTGCAGGCTGAGCACTCGCTCGTGCTCGTGCCGGTGGTGGCGACGAATGTTCAGTCTGCGCGAGTCCATAATCAGGATGAGATCCATTCCGTAGTTAAAGCCCGTCCAGCGCCACTTTTGGTAGCCAGGCTCGAGCAACATGCGTCCACAGCGCATGCAGCTCTCAAAGAACTGCTCATTGTCGAGCTGCTGGGGACTGCTGTGGATGCAAACAAAACAAAATTATTATTATTGCGTATTACTGCTTAAATACCGTAATAGAGTTACCAGTCCTCCTGCCCGTGATCGATCCGCAGTAGTGCATCCCAGTGGTTGTGGATGTGCCGATAAAGCCACTCCTTGGGTATGATGTTGTCATTGTAGATAATCTTCAGATCCATGTAGTGGTTGGTCAGGTACTGTGTTCGCAGCTTCTGGAAGACCCTTACATACGGCTGCCCCTCGGGCGTGGCCAGGAACGAACGCTCCTCCATGCGACTGGTAAAGTACGCCCACTGGACGACATCTCCGCTGGGCGTGTGCGTTTCCACGCCGGCATTGACAAGTCGCTCTTGTGTTTTAACCGCCTCAGCCCGCTGTATCGGGTCCTCTGGATCGTAGTCGGGATGCAGGCGCAGGAACATCCAGGTGCGCAGCAGTGTGTACAGTGAGAACTCCGTCTGCATTACGTACAAATCTGGGCTAGCGGTGAGGGCACTCATTAGCTCGATTGAGATGTGCCTCAGCAGGTTCGGCTGCTTGCTATAGATGCTTAGCAGGTTGATCTGGAACCATTGGAAGGTAGACTTCTTTACTCCAACTACACCGTACTGGCAGGCTGCTTCATAGTACTGGATAGCTGTCTCCGGACTGATGTTGTCGACCATCACCTCGGCACACTTGTCGATGATTCCGTCCAAGTGGAACAGCGTAGCCGTGGCTAAGACCGATATGACATCGGCCGACTCAATCTCGATTTCGTCGGAGTACATAGATCCAAATACAGCATCCAGACTGGCCACGGTGATCCGGTCATCGAGGATCGCGATCTGAATGAAATTCTGCTGCGCCTCCCGCCAAGTTCCATTGAACATGGTGTAGAAGTAGGGACTCTGGCTCAGGTAGACTTTGTGCAGGTGCCAGACTTTGTCCAAAGCCATTACGGCCACATCAGAGTTCTTCTCCTCCTTAAACAGAGCCTTGTATATGTACTGTGTGGTAGTAAGAAGCTTCTTCCTGGGGAAGGAGGAAATATTATATATTGTTTGATACCATTCTGAAACCACTAACTTTTTGGGCTGTGTGGTGTCCATCTGGGATTGGTCGTCCTTGCTCAACATGGAGTCCGTGCTGCGTTTCCGTTTCCGCCGGTTTCCAAACACCTCCGCCACATTCGTATGCATGGAGCCCATGATCTGACCCATGGCTCAGCAAAGGAGTCCCCCTCTGAAACAAACACAATTGTTTATTTAGAGTTTTTCGTAAGAGATTTGGGTCAACAACTAAGGCACCGGCCTCTTTATCGATCTAACAGGTTGCGTGTTGATAGCGCCCCCAAATGGAACCAGTTGACCCACTTTCGTTCCGCCAAATTGTAACGCCAGCCACTGAAACGGTGAGGAAACACTGTTCCCGGGTGGGCGAACATTCGTGTGGGTGACATTTCAGGCCCTAAGCCCAATGAAAAGCGCATCCATTCATCAATGGTGGTGATGTCATCACATCACAAAGCTGAGGCGTGATACTTTAGTTGTAATCAAATCCCCCAAAGGGAGTCGGAAAACTTGAAAAGCATTTCTCAATTGTAAATGATAAATATTTAATGTCTTACTAAGCAATTACTAGACTTAAATGCCCAAATAAATTATATAAATAAGATTTCAGTAATGGCTTTTTGTATATAGCAGTACTCATACTTTAAGATGCCATGATAGATCATAATTTTTCAGGATAATAAGTAGTCATGAATTCGTCGATTCGGCGATAGATTACATGCTAAAATTTGTAATCAGGTAAACAGGAAAATTAATCTTAGAATTAAAGAAGTTCAATCGGTGTTAATATATTGATATATTACAAGTTACACTTAATATTCCGTGCACTACACAAAATTCCGAAAATAATTAAACATCAAATGAAATCAATTACCGAACCTATGAAATAACGTCTATTATGAGATTTAATAGAAGTGACAGAAGTTCTTTATCAAATCATAAAGAGATAGGATGAAACAAAATGAAATTTTCTAAAAAAAAAACTTTTGGCTGAAATTATAAAAACCTCTGCAAGAGTATAAAAAAGTTCAATGTGACCTGAACCGTTTTGTAGCCGCTACCATTTTCGGGCAAAGTCAAAAAGGGGCTCTATAATTAGAATGAGATCAAACGAGCTCGGTTCCATGTGCGTTTTTATGCTTTGTTTATGCGGCCAATTGCTGGAGCGTTGTAAGTGTTGTAACCATGTCAAGGCCGCGACGGAAGTTATAGTTGCTGCTGGCCATAAACAAGCAAGCGCACGCTTTCGTCACCTCGCATTGGATCGCATTGATATGGACGGCCAGAGAGCTACATAGGTTCGATAATACCCGGCCACTGATTATCTATTCAGACCCATCTTAAAATAATGATTGCAGAGTCCAGCTTGGGGAAAGGTGGTGGGTTTGGGGTCCGTCAGCAGATGGCGGGTTTGTTTTGGTGTGGCGCAGTTCCGAAAACAAAAGTAAACTATTGAAAACCGGTTTTGTTTGCGTGTATTTCTTATAAGACCAAAACAAGACGACTGCATCGCTTCAAATTACGTCACCAGTTGAAGCCGGAGAGCTGAGAGAATTGGGGGTACGAAGAGGAACAAACAAAAGGGGGTGGGACAGAAAACCACCGAATACAGGCTGACATCCAAGTAACTAACTTGATTTTCATCAAGTCGTGTGGATATACAAATTTATATATCGATAATAGAACCCAATATTTTAAGTATTTAATCGTCTTAATACAGACGGCATGGAAAATAATGGTGTTTATATTTTTTGTGAAAATATAATTAAAGTCATATTTTTGGGTGTTAAGCAAGAACTTTTGGCCAAACTATCACTACACGTGTTATTAATTGTAAAACACATTTCAATTTCACCAAAGTAACTCGTTCTTGTCGTCGGTACAGAAGGTTAACTATGCATGTGAAGTTTTAAAAAAGTTTGATTATTTATATTCATGGAATTTCCACTGTAAATATATTTAAAAGATAATAAAAGTATTCGCATTTAAAGTACAACTTTTATAAGTTTAAAATTAAAAAAAAATTAATGTTGCCCAAGGAGTTAACGGCTAAATAACGTGGGTGATCGTCGAAAGAAGCCAACAAGCATGGGCGGGGACTCGAACTCGCGTACGAAATTTGGTAGGGAATTCCGGTCGCTTCAGACGACAGAGCCACCGCAGCTGGAAAGTGGTAATCGCCAGAAATGTGAGATGTATGTAGTAACTGAATTGGAAACTTGTTTTGTTAACCTGTAGATAAGGCAAATCGATCACTAAATTAAGGATCGGAAATCAGCTGATCGACATTGCAAAACGCATGTTTATTCGCACTATTTATGACTGCCTGTTGGCTTGCTCTGATAACGTTAAGAGATATGAACAACAAGCCACCAAATCACTAACTTGTTCACTCTTTTTTTATCCCCATTTTTCAGGCTGCGGAGTGCAGTTAATCTGCAGCTATAAATAGCAAACAAAAGTGAATTCGGTGGGTGACGTAGTTGGGAAAAGCAAAGAGGGGGTGGGATGGAAAACGAAGTAGAGAGGGAGAGAGAGCGCTGGCGAACGACGCAAAACTGAAGGAAATGGAAGCAAGGTACACAAAGGGGAACTGATAAACGAAACTTACTGTAAATATGCAGTTACAGTTCTGCAGTTTTATATAACTGCAATTGCACTTTACGTTCACCAACTTTGTAACAAAAAAATAAAATAAACACCGACTAAAGTTCTACGCGTTTGTGAGTAAGCGTGCGATTTATATCATTTCAATCCCGTTCGCTAGCAAATTTATCTCTGTTTTGCTGCAGTTTGCTCTCAAAATAAATTTGAGGTGGACAAACTTCGATGACTACCTCCTCATTGCGGTTATCGATAATTGATTTTGAATGACATGCGCTAGTGCGTTTTTGGATACGCGGTCACATTTCCCGCCAATTTAAAATTAGAAAAAATATATTTTTAAGTTTCGATCTAAAAAATAATTAATCTTCCATTAATTATTGGTTCTACATTATTTCAACAGGATGTTTGAGGTAATCCCGGTGCTTTTATTATAAGCTCGTATTTTATTTATTTAACAGCAATGAAAAAACGCCATTTTTAAAATTTTTACAATTGCCCAATCCAAGGAAAATGATAATGAGGATGAAATAGTTATGTTTACTAAAAAAAAATGTAGATTCCTAGCACATACATAGATACCGGGTATATACTAGGTTGACGGTAAATCAACTATAATTATACTTAAAAAAGGAAACAAACAAACAGCTGCCAATGGACTATATTTTGATATTTATATGTATATGTTTTAAAACAAGAGAGAGATTCCGGTTTTGCAATTAAATTTTGTTTCGTTCCTATGGTACCTAGTCGTCCGACTTTAATAAATTCGTCCAGATTTTTTAAAAACTGAGAGACTAGTTTGCGTAGAAACGGATAGACGGACATGGCCGATCGACTCTCCTGGTGATGCTTATCTAGAATATATTTATAGGTTAGGTATATTTAAAGGCATACATGTTAGTTGTCATGATGACACAAGTCCCGGTCTTGGTTTTGTACGTTATTTCAATTTTTCTTTTAGCATGTCTGCATATTTTTTGAGATGACAGTCTGACCGGATACAATTTTTTGGCCAAACTGCCCAACAAAGCTGCTCAGTGCTTTTCCGGCAAACTCGAACATCTGAAGAGCTCACCTTAATTAATTTTGCTGAGCTGTAATTAATCCGATCCATTCTGGCTTTTTTCATCACCCGCCTCAGCACGTTTTGATCGAGTACTTGAGCTCAAACTCTTGACCAATGTTTTCAACATTGTCACACAAAGAATCTTCTACCAATTGATTCTCCAACAAACAATTTAAATTTACAGTTTTAACAAATTTTTGTTGAAAGTAGCAATGTTTACCGAATTAATTTTTGACACACACAGTTCACTTGGAGAATAATTCTCCAATTCTGCAAAAAAAATATCTCAAGAGCTCGTCTGCATTTTTAAACGGTCGCTTGCTCTTTGATTATACCAAATATCTATCTCCATCGAGAACTTTCAAAATCACTTGGGATCCCAAACCATATTGTTGAGAATGTTTTCTCTTATTTTCCTTAACCCAGTCTATCATAGTTATGAAGCATTTCTTTCTATGTTTGTTATTCCCTTGCAGAGGGTAGTATAATTTTGGTCAGAAGTGTGCAACGCAGTGAAGGAGACATCTCCGACCCTATAAAGTATATATATTCTTGATCAGGATAGCGTCCTGATGGAATAAGGTTTCAAAGCGTAAAAAAAAAAACAAAAGGAATATTTTATTGTTTTGGTGAGTGAAAACTATGATATACTCCTTCAAGTCGTTTTACCCAATTTATTTAACACCTATATTAATACCAGTGAGAAGTTTGCGTTTATTTTTCTGACAACCGCAAAATAAATTGACGAAAATTTTAATATTTATATTCTTATCCAATAGATTGTCGAACCTGAGTAACAGATTAAGGAGAGGGAAACTTTACTTATGCTTTCATTTTAGTTGTACTTGGTTTTATTTCACCATCTAGAACAAAGAACATTTTTTTAATGTTGAAAGACAAATGCTTTCGACAAAGTTTTCAGAACAATTTCAATCTTTTATATAGCAAATCTATGAGATGACCCCTAAAGCACGATTAATCCTTTGCTGAAAGACGGAGGTCTCATTTTTACAACCAAATGGCATCGACAAAAACTTACATTGCCGAATTGAAATCGGAATTTATTTAAAACCACTTGCAATGTCTAAACTTCAAATGAATTTGACTCCTCTAAGTGTAATGATCTGTTCAGCTGATAGGGGCGAATGATGGTTGTCTGCGACTGAATTTACGCTAATATCTCTATAATCTACGCATTAGCTATCACTGTCATGCTTCAGCAATAGGCTCCCGAGTCAAAAATAAATGAAAAGGGGCTCACCAAGTTGGTACAGGATTCCTTAAGGCTTAACATTGCACACATCTAGGCGCTTCACATTTTTGGTATCATCTGTAAAGCTTTCTGAAATATATTGTAAAGCTTTCTGGGGGAAATAATCTTGTTTTAAGATATCTTCCTATATTTCTTATTGCAACAGCCCACCATTTATTGTTCAAGCTTCCACTGTTTGGATGACACCTTTCGCCGGTTCACGTCGTGTCCTGACCGAAGAATGATTACGTATTTTCTCCATGGAAATACTTGCAACTCAACCTGTAAATAATCATGAGTGTTCCCAACAAGCCCAGAAAAAGTGATAATGCAATTTCTTCTGTGTCCAAGTTACTCCAATTTGGATAACAGGGTAAAAGATTTGCGAAAACCTCTTTGGACTCACTTAATGCCGAAATTAAGCTACTTTCTTGCTTCCTGACTCCCGGGACAACTTAATAAAACTTTAACAAAAACACAACTCCCTTTTCGTGCAAAATATGCGACATCATCTGCAACTTCTTCATCTTAAAAATGTCTACTTTGTTGCTGCAAAGGAACTGCTCTTCCGTGATTATTGGACGCGAATAGGAGTGGAATTATTTCTGGGTTTTGAATTTGGATTTCTCGATTTTTCCTTTGACACGTCTTTTGCCAATGACCATTCGTTTTCGAATGTCAATCCCCTTTTTTATTCATGCCATGCTCGGCAAAGGCTGTCAACTTAGTCTCAACCATGCTATCACCAACAATTTTGGACATACAACATGGCAACCATACTCAGTAACAGTTTTAACAGCTTTTGTTGAGTGTGCAAATTTTTAAGCCTACGACATATATAACTGCTTAAAATTATAAATTTAACTTTTAATTTGGCAAATACATTTTTGGAGAGAGATTAGAAGGCTCCGTTCCACGATTATGTCTGTTGAAGAAAGCAAGCAAATCAGTTTGGGAATTAGGACTTCTTAAAGTAAATGGGTGACCCCATTGTCATTTACCTTGGTAAATTTAGGTGTTCGACTCAACGTTGACTTCACTCTGTCTCCAGCTGGAGTACAGTGGAAGAGGGCACTCCTGAAGGTAGGGCCCAGGTTATTCCCTAGTAATTCAACATTGATCATATACTTCACTCTTATATTGCGATCAAATGAATGGTCAACCCCAGAACAGAATGGTCAACCCCAGACAAAAATCTCCAATCATTTTAAAACCCTTCCAGGCCTGACCTACTTCTGATCTTAGCCTTTATGATTGACTGTAAAATTAAACAAGAAAGGAAAGCTAACTTCGGACGGAGCCGGAGTTGATATACCCTTGCAGAATATTCTGTAAATTATATTCTCCAAAACTATTCATTTGATTCATTCTTAATACTCATACAAAATCCCAACTTCCTAACTTTAAAAACACAAAAGTTATGGCATTTCCAATTGTTCAGTTATATGGCACCTGTAGGATATAGTCGGCCGATCCTTATGAAATTTGGTAGGTCGGATTGATTGGCCAAATATAAAACCCATATAGAATCCCAACTTCCTAACTTTAAAGAATACCAAAGTTATGGCATTTCCGATCGTTCAGTTATATGGCGGCTATAGGATAAAGTCGGCCGATCCCGGCCGTTCTGACTTATATACTGCGTGCAAAGGAAAGAAGGGTGTATGCAAAGTTTCAACTCGATACATACTCACTTTTGTTATACGTTAGGTCCCACAACTTAAAAAAAAACAAACAACCTACATAGGCACAGGGAACGGAATGTAATGGACTATTCAATAAAACATCGTTCTCTTTTAAATTACAACAAACTTTTAAATGTTCTTGTATGCCTAATCCTCATACTTTAATAGCAACAATCTGAGCAAAAGCTAAATTTTTGAGACAATTTTTTTATTATTTTTGACATTAATTTTTTCTTGTTTAAAAATAAATCTTGTCAATCTCAATTTCATTAGCAAGTTTTTTGTAATGGAAACGTAAATGATATTAGCTATCTTAAAGTATTTAGATCTTCCCGAACTTTGCCCGCATGCACGCAACCAGTGTTGCAAAATGCCGGAATTCAGTGTGACCTTGTCACACGGTATTTTTACACAAGCAAATAATAGTGTAATCGAATTTTCTGTGCTGCGCAGCAGTTAAATAAAATATAATACACCGCAGCTGCAGATAGAAATCGGACTTAAAAACCAGTGCAAGTTGCATTCGCCCCAAATTGAAGGTACGCCGACAAAGTGAGACAAGAACAATTGCCAAAATAGTGGTGTAAAAGGTCAAAGTGGCAGCCGTGAAAAGTGGCACACAACAACAAATACACACACGACAATAAAAACACCCACAATTACTGAATGCTTTTTGCCCTCGTTATCGTTATCGCTTTCGTTTCGCATCTGTATTTTTCGCAGGCGCATTTTCGTGGGGCGTGCAATGTTTAGGATCCATCTGAAAATGGGTCCGCAACGCAACAACAACAATGGTGCTGCCGGGAGTAGCAACGGCGGAGGTCGTCACCTGAAGGAGTTCACCTGCTGCTTCGGGCTGCATGTCCACACGGCCACCTTGATGATCGGATTGTGGCACCTGGTAAGTGAACTTCCGGAGAGCCTCTGACCTTTTGAGAGGTATATATGTACATGTGCAAATCCATACTTACACATGTGTCCTCAAACACCCACGCATGCAATCGGCGGATTGTGCGAAAAACTTTTGACCCTGTTCAGTGTCACGCAGGGGAAAAATCAATGGCGCAATGACTGCCAAACTTTTGCGAGGCGAGCCAACTCTGCACTTTCCCCGCCCGTGACGTCAATGGGGCTGATTGGTCGGCTACTGCGTCAGCTGATCAAATTGCCTATAAACTGGTGGCTTTTTTTGGCATTACGCATTCTTGCTGCTGCGGAAGTTTCCAAATCCCTCGTCCATTGTCCGAAAAGTAACCTTTCACAAGCCCCTGACTCCGCATAAGCAATTGCCACACTGCGAAAAACTCATTCGGTTTTGGGCTGTATCACAATACAATACATACCAAAGAAATTCAATAATACATTAAATTGGGTCACTGTAACGTATGGACAATTAAAATTACGATATCATTTTAAATTTATTTTGAAAAGCTTAGTATAAGCCACTATTTACTCTGGCAAATTATGGGGTGACTGGTTAATTGTATTTTATTATCTCAATATTCGAAATACTCCAGAAAATAAATGAATGATATAGAATGTAAAAATTTTTTTAATACCTATTTTCAATCAGGAGATATATTTTTATTCTCTAATTTGGACTTTCTTTAGTTTCTTTAATATACACAACATTTTTGAAAAAAAAATATATGTAAGTTTACTTTTTACAAATGCTGTTCGCAGTATTGCAGTTGTTGTCGCGCTAGGACAAAAACACACAAATAAATTAAATTTAGGTTAAAACCAAAATAAATGAATGTGTATAAATGTTTCTGGTTAATTGTAAAGGATAACAATTTCTCTTAAAAAAAATATCAACATACAGTATTTTTATTTGTGCACAATTCATGTGTATTCGCCCACTACTTTCATCATGCATTTCCAATGCTCTGATACCTGCTGTTAATTATGGTTCGGGTCACGTTTTGCAGCAGAAACTCCGTCACATGCGTTGCCTCAGTGATTATGGTTTGGAAATCACGGTAGTTATCTGCCTTAAATGCAATCTCATGGGCTTCTTTGTTTACATTTAATAGATAGGTTAGCGTTAGAGGCCTAAAAAAACAAAGCGATACCAAAAATCGAAGATTTAGATGACTCATAAGAAGAGTGATAACTTATTGTTGATTAACGAATGTTTGCAGATAAGCTGCGGCTCACCGCGCATTAAATTTCAAAATGATGAATAATAAGGCAAAAGATGGTGAGTTGCCGCATCTAAGGTCGAGGTGTCATCAAAGTAAAGCCTTCAACATGAGATACTTAGATACCGAATAGGATATCCAACAGCGGCCATATGAGCAAACAGCAACCAGATACATATTTTTCAGTTATTTTTAATAACTACACGTACCCGACGGACGATGACAAAATATTTACACTTCAAGAGGTTTACCCTTGGTTTTCGGTATACATTCTTCTTCTGGAGCAACATTGTGATGTGGGCTGCCATAAATCCGAGAATTGTTAATTCAGCTGTCATCTATCAGCACACAGGTTGCAAATCAAATCAAGCGAAGCTCTCTTATCTATTTTGGACAGCTTATCTTGATGAGCGGACCAACACACCTGCTAAACGCACTTGAAATACTTTTAGATGTTGAGATATCTCTGAATTCCCCACACTCGTGATCCTTGAGAATCTTTGCTTCGTTCTTGACGTTTCACAAATTAATACAAACTTGTGAAACATTTTTCTGGCTACACACCTTTACCCACATTGCTCATTTCCAATGAAAGCGCTTCCGGAGGAAGCTGTCGGATTGGTGAAGGCGTCTGCAAGATTCGAATGCAATGCCCCAAGCAGATGGCACAGATCCTGAAGACAATTCTAGTTGCTTCTGTGACTCCAAAGAAACATCCAAACCTCGCACCTATGCATTTAAGGAAGCTGCGGCAGGCGATGCGGTTGAGGAGGAGAAGGAAAGGAAACAGGAGAGGGACGATGGCCTAAAGCATCTGTACAACAATCCAGCTGGCAACAATCGTACTCCTTCCTCCGTGTTAGGCATCCAGGCTGGCGTCTTCAACAACCTGAACGAGCGTACACTGTCCTCATTGGGCTACTCGTCAGCCAGTACGTTAAAGCCACTGGAAATCAGTAAATCACTGGGGGAAAAGACCAATTTGTACCATAAACTCGTGGATCTTGTGAGGCGACGCATCAAGCCCAACTCGATTATCACCATCGGAAAGAGTCAGCATCCTGTGCATCTAATGGTGCTTCAGAGCTTTTCACGTACGTTTCGTGATGTCAGTAATGAGTTGAGCGTGGATCTGCCCGAGGAGAAAGTGACGCCGCGCTCCTTTAGGCTTATCTACGACTGGATGATTGAGGACACGCCAATTCTGCCCCGCCTCGGTCTACTGGAGGTTCTCCAGGCTGCCAGTTTTCTGCAGATTCCGCAGCTGGCCAGCCAGTGCGAGTATTGTCTGAAGAATGGCTTCAGGGAGGAGTCTGCGGCGATGCTGTATTTGGAGGCTAAGCTCCTTAAACTAGAGCAGAACCATCGGCACTTACTTGTGCGCATCTCAAAGTTTTTCCTGACGCTGGTTGCGTCAAAAGAGTTCCTGCGACTGCAGCTTAACCCACTGCTCATGCTGATCATGTCGAGCGATATTGGCGTCAATACGGAGTTGGAGGTCTTCATGGCAGCCGTTCGCTGGCTTAATCACCAATGGCCCCAACGACAGGGAAACATTACAGTGGTTGCATCCAGCATACGTTTCGGTCTGATCCCGCCGTGGTTGCTCATCCGTTTGCAGAAGCCCGATATCACCGCTGTGGAGGTGAGGAGAATTGTAACTGAGCCAGAGGTGCGCCAAGCCATTCATGACGGCATTGCCTACACCACCACGCGACTCTTTTTTGGAGCTGATCGCGAGGCCTTCAAGAACCATTTGCACAACTCGAGCGCCCATCCACCGATTCAGCGGACCTGGATTTACGACCGGAAGTGTCGCCATCACCATCGCTTGCACTGCAAGATCACACTGGAACTAACCTACGAAACGTTTGTAGAGTACCTAAACTATCTTCAGAATCAGAACCGGGACTATTGGCATTCTATAGAAATTGCGGAGGCCAGCAATGTGTGTTTCAATTGCCAGGCCGTTGCCAAAGAGTTGGAATAACTAAGCCCCTTGATTGACCTTAGATGTTATTTGTAAAAATTGTGAAATATATCTTGATACTTAATTGAAAACCTGCGGATCTCTGAAATTTAACAAATAATTTAAATATGTAAATGTCGGTGTGAGCTTTGGGGAAAAAAAGGCATACTGCCGTTATATGAACAAAATACTTTTAAGAAAAATGGCATACTATTTCACTTGTTACCACTAAACTTTTCTTACGTTTTCTTTGCAGTTTTTGAACATCTTAGCATTGAGCGTTCTGGCAGTTATATGGCGCAATCCCGAGATGATGGACGAGCTGGAAGGTGGCACCCACGACTACACTGTGGATCTGAGTGCACCGGCACTACCCACGCCGCTGAGCAAGGTCGAACCGCCCTACGCCTACCGCGACCACTCCTTCAACTATCGTAAGCGTTACCGTAAGCAGTGGAGAGAACAAGTTCCGCATTGGATTTTAATTGATGTTTTTTCCTGCAGAGAACTTTGACATGGGCGGCTTGGTGTGCACCTGTATGATAGCCATCACGTTGATGATGATCTACGGCACCATCAAGGGGAAACCTTCGCACCTGTTGCCCTTCTTTTGTTTGCAGTTGTTTGATTTCGCCATTACCACGTGAGTTTTATAAGCGGGGGAGTCACAGAAACCTCTACAGACTAAAAGAAAATACTTTCGGCTGTTACCTTCTGTAATCCTTAGATCCGGGGACTGCCTGGTTTAATTTACTAATATAACGATCTATTTGCTAATTACAGTCTCACCGCTGCTGGATATCTGTGCTACCTGCAGGCCATTCACAGCATCATTGCCGAGTCGCATCGCTTACCATGGCGCGAGAAGCTGCTGGAACTGCCGCCAGAGGAGCTGGTTGTTGTAGTCCTTCTCGTCTTTATTTGCATTGTTTTTCTCAAGGCCTACTGCATTGGTATCGTTTGGCGCTGCTACAAGTACTTGACCCTGCGTCAACAACACGTTCGCACCCTGTTCCCGTTCCTTGAGCCACCAACTGGAGTCCACAGTGTTGGCGGAACCTTCGGTGCCGAGGAGCGGTCCTACTCCACGCTGCTGCCCAATTACGATGAAGCGATTGCCCAGTACTTGAAGCAGGCACCGCCGCCATCTTACCAGGTGGCCATGTCCAACTACGAGGAGGCCGAGGACGCTGCGGCTGAAGGGGCAGAGGTCAATCCTTCAGTGGCACCCTTGTTTGTGGCCCTCGGGGCAGCCACCACAGCTAACGTCGCCTCCAACACGGATGACAACATGGATAACAACAATGATCAGCCGAACAACAACAACACGATGCATGTGAACGCCAATACGCCGCCAATGCGTCGCAGCGATGCCGCTGTAAGCGCCAATGTCGACGAGGAGGATGACGACCTAGAGGTGATCGACGCGGGCGTGGATATAATTGGGGGTATTCCACCTCCTCCGCCCTACAACGACGTTGCCGATGCCCAGGTGCAGGTGCCATCGCAGTCGCCGCTGCACCGCCAGCCCAACATCCCGGGACAAGTATTTGACGGTCGCGACGAGAGCCAGGCCTAAGTTGTAGCTTGGATTAGTTTGCTTCTCATGGCGAGTGGGTTGTGATCATTGGTGACCACCCCTCTCCACCTCCTCTTCTTGCCCAGATGATCTGGTTTCATCTAACAGCTATCATTCCCAGGCACACATACACGATCTATAAGGTTGCTTCAATGTATCTATCAGTGTTTTTAGAGAATCGAAGCCCAAACTAGTTTTGCTTTTAGCCGTCGCTCATTATTGTTGTTTAACGTACAATTAAGATGCTCTAGTTGCTGCTCATTTAGTATACATCACAAGCAAGCAAAACCAAAAACATTTTGCGATGCTGGCGAGGAAAGCTTCAATTCCTTTTCGGCCGCATCTGACCCGAAAGTAGCTGCAACAATCTGTTAGATCGTTTTTCATTTGGCCCGAAATAGCCTGAGCATTTCGGATAGTCTAGGCCCAAGTAGTTGTTACCAGAGAGTATCGCTGGCATAATAACGATGTTCTTTGTTTTAAGCTATCTCGTAAGACTCTATGCATATTGAATACCGAGTACTGAATTCATAGCACAGCATACATAATCCATAAATTATGATGATATTATCAATTGTATTTTACTATTGCGTATTAATACCAGCAATTGTATTGTTTTATGTGTGTACAATATCTAAATGTATACTGTGTACTAAATATGCAGAGATATTCGAATAAAAATTAGTTTATATTTAATGTCATTTGATTTGATTTCAACAACCTGTTTTTATATTTTTAATTCATCCTGATTTCAGTCTAAAGTTTGTAACGCAGGGAAGAAGAAATTTCCAAACATATAAAAAATATACTTGATCCGGATGGATCAATATCGAGATATACGAATAACAACCAAATTTAGCTCATTTTAGTCGATCGTTTCAATGGCAGCTTTCGGATATAGTCGTCTGAAATTTCAACATCACTGTACACATAAAAACATATTGTATAGAAAGTGTTATAAAAATGATAAACTGAATAGAACTATATGGCCAATGTGGCAGAAACTTTGACCCGATCGATTTTATATATAGGATATGGACGTCCAATCAGCGCCTTCCTTAAACTTGATCTGCGTACCCGCGTAAAAAAAAGGATGCATTAGTTTCAAGTCTGAAGCTGATAAAAAAGATTGGTACAGTCACAGACGGACATGGCTATATCAACTCGTCTAGTGATGATGATGAAAAATATATATATACTTTATAGGGTCGTAAATGCTTCCTTCACTGAGTTACAAACTTCTGATTAAAATTATAATGCCCTCTGCAAGGTTATAAAGAATATATATTACTTTGTTGTTTTTTAACATGTACTGATATACGTCGCAGTTTTTTACCATTTCAGAATTTCGGTTTTAATTGTGTAAAAGTCGGAAAACTGTATCATGTATCGTAATAGTGCCCTTAGGCACTTTCTGTCTTGTTCCTGCTGACATCCTATACATACCAAATAATGTATTTGTTTTTACAAAAATAATAATATAGGTAAAATTTATGGATTTGGTAAAACATTAAAATGCTCATTGAGCTGAGCTGTGATTATGGCTTTCATTACATAATATAGGTATACATATATGTTTTGAAAACATAGATCCTTTTTTTTAATGTGTACTTTTCAAAATTATTTCAAAAGAATGCTTTTCTATTTTCTCAAAAGTATCGTTCGTGAGAAGTCCTCATCTAAAAATTTCCGATCACTGCGCGTTGATGACTAATCTGTACATTATAATCCAAGTTCATTCCCTGCCCTGGCTGCAGTCGATTCCGTAAAATAATCCCACGTAGAAAAAGTACCCGAGATTATTTTGATGTGTGCGATTGTATTCTTTTCATTTATTTTAAGTGCACTTCCGTTGTGGGCTTAGGCCTTCCAGTTGGACCAGGTGCGGATCTCGTTCCAGATGTTGGTGCCGGGGCACTCGGTGGAGCCCACCTGGCGATGTCCGTACAGGATGTACCCTGAGACGATCTGGCCGCGGGAGACGGCGTCGGAGAGCAGGCCCTTAGCGGCGGAGATCTGGCCGGAGGTGAGGGTGTTGGTGTTGTAGTTGCCCAGGAAGGAGATGCCGATGGACTTGGAGTTCCAGTTGGTGGCGTGGGCACCCAACACATTCCAGCCGCGACCCTCGTACACATTGCCATCGCCGCCGATCAGGAAGTTGTAGCCGATATCGGCCCAGCCCAGGGAGTCCATGTGGTAGGCCTGGATGTTCTTTAACTGGGTGATGCAGGCGGCCTTGGTGGAGCAGTAGTTGCCGGCGGTGTGGTGGATCACGGCGTAGCTCAGGGAGCTGGCCAGCGTGGACTTGCTGGTGGCGGAACGGCCACCCCACTCCGACTTGGAGATGATGGTCACCCCGAGGACGGCCTGGGCGCAGAAGAGCACGGCCAGAAGGACGAGAGCTTTGTTTGCCATGGTTGCGGATCAATTGTGCAGTCTGTCCTCCGATCGAACCTTATATACCGCCCGACTTGATTTATGCCCTGCGAGCCGAAGGCAGGTTCGGGCAGAGATCCGAGTCGTGTGCTTCCATCTGATACGGGGGTTATCTGGTGGTCAGATCCTGATACGGCGATGACGACGGACCAATCACGCTTCTAATCAGCCAAGTGGCATTAATTAATTCGTCTAAGAGGTGGCCATATATTGTGTTGCCTATCAGAACATTGCGAATATCTGTTGAGACCAGTATTTCCCGACTTTAATTTACTTTGATTATTTTAGCTTTTTCAATTGCTTATACTACAGATTTAAATATAGGAAAGATTCTTTCAGCAATAAAAACATTTCTTATTTTTTCTTAGCTTATTAAAGATTTTGAACGTAATAATGAGATTTTATGGCAATCCGATACATGGTAAATGGTAAGAAATTTCCATGGTCCGTCGTTATTATAACTTCATATGGGAAATGTATTATTTGACAGAAACGCATACATCTCAAAGTTATTATCTTTTTTGGAATACGATATTTTTAAAAACATAAAAACATGTCAGAATTAACCAAGAATATAAACGTAAGGAATATTTCAAAAAGATTATCAGCAGAAGACTTGCACCTGCGGAATGTGCACTGCCGCGCTGGTTGCCGTTTCATAAGTTATACTTAATATTTAAAACAACATTTTTAAACAAGAAAGGGCGGAGCCGAAGTTGATATACCCTTGCAGAATATTCTATAAATTATATTCTCCAAAATTATTCATTTGATTAATTCTTAATACTCATAAAATGTCCCAACTTCCTAACTTTAAAAACACCAAAGTTATGACATTTCCAATCGTTCAGTTATATGGTAGCTATAAGATATAGTCGACCGATCCTTATGAAATTTGGTAGGTCGGATTGATTAGCCAAAAATAAAACCTATAGAAAATCCCAACTTCCTAACTTTAAAAACACCAAAGTTATGGCTTTTTCGATCGTTCAGTTATATGGCAGCTATATAATATAGTCGCCCGATCCGGATCGTTCCGACTTATATACTACCTGCAATAGAAAGAAAACTTTTGGGACAGAAGGACAGACGGACAAACAGACGGACGTACAGACGGACATGGCTATATCGACTCTCCTGGTGATGCTGATCAAGAATATATATACTTTATAGGGTCGGAAATGTCTCCTTCACTGCGTTGCAAACTTTTGACTGAAATTATAATACCCTCTGCAAGGGTATAAAAATGAATAAATATAAATAATTATTGCAAAGTTTGTGGAGACCAGTGTTTTATAGAAAAGGATAAACTAGTTCTCGGATAAATTTGTTATAAATAGGTTATGCTATAAAATTCGTTTGGCCATAAAGTTTGAAAGCTTTCAAGCTAACAACGTAGCTTTTATTCCTTGATTATAACATTGGGGATATTGGGAGAAAAGTGTTATGTATAAAACTACTTATGTTATTAAATTAATTTAAAGTTATTAAATATTTAAGAAAAAAGTTAAATTTCCTAATAAACTTTATTACATCACACTTAAACTACATGCCAAGAACTGCAATGTTTGTGTATATTTAAAACCGCTGCGAGGGCAGGGTTAATGTGGTATATGTCCCCCCATAAGAATCCCCGATAACTTGTAATGGCTAAAACGTCAGTAAAAAGCTTACTCTTCGATTTCACCAAAAGTTTCTTTATAAATATTGTTCTGCTTTTGTTTACTTTTCTTATCTGACTTAATATGATGTCTTCCCACACTCAATCAGAAGCACTTTAAAAATTATAAGTGTAAGTGACTGATATAAATCAATAAAAGGAACGGACCAAAATACTATTATAATAACGCCAATCAGAGACGCAATAAAAAAATGGTCACTTAATATTTCGATTAGATTTCTGATCGTTGGTTCCACTCGCCATATATACGCCCCTATTTCAGATACGATCCACAAGATATTTTGGCTTTTGGTCCCCCTTTTTGTATGTGAGAACGTAGCTCCACGTAGTTTACTCATAAAGAGCAAATGAACTAAACGACTGTAATCATTGTTCACTTAGGAGTCATGTTCTTTGTAAAATACTGGAGACATTGCAAGTATTCACTGATTCATCTGACTTATGCAAACTAACACATATTACAAACATTTAATTTATTATTGATTTTATTTACTTTACTTAAATAAAGAACTCAAAGATCAGAAAGATACGAACAGCCTCCTTTTAATACATATTGAATAAAAATCCCCCTTTAACGTTAAAGTTGAGAGCTACACCGGAAACTTGTAACTTAAAAATTCATTAGTCATTGGACAATTGATATAAAGGGGACTTTTAAAGTTCTTAAGTCCATCTTATCAGCCACGAGTTGATGTAGCTGAGTCGTAGAAATTTCCCTTCCCACTAATCGCAGCCGGCAGATGAACTCGTAAATCTTGATAAGTAACTGGTAATCACGCAAATAAAAATACTGTAATAATCTGAAAGTCGCAGGAGCAGCACCTGGGCAACAAGGAGAATGGAAGGAACCACTTTGTCAATCCACTTGTTCAACCATCCGAGTGCCGCCAAGTGCTATTCCCTGTGGCAGGAAGGAGGCGAATCTCGAAACTGAAAGCTTAAGCAAGTTATTAAGCACAAAAACAACTGAAACTCATTCAGAACTACTTTGTTAACGAGGATGTCGTTAATGAGACTGCGGTTCAAGTGGCGAAAAGTTTGCTTTGGTCAGCGGCCGATTGTGAAGTTTTCCGCTGCTTTTGGCTGTATTAAGTGACGCAGTCCAGTTTTGAGAGTTAATTTTACAATTTTATAAAAGCTTTTCGGTTGAATTTGTCATCCTCCAAAAAAATAAAGAAAGTGTCCAAAGTTCATATCAGTCTGGACAACCTAATGATATTTAGCAAGTTTGCCAGGCACACACAGTTTTGGTGAATCGGTGCGATTGATCGTAAGATTTTAGGATCTACCCTTATCATAGATAAATCCATGCCAGATTAGCCAATGTATAGAACTTGGTTAGATTTTTTTTAAACAATTTTATTCATGCTATCAAGAATCAATTTAACCAGACCAGTGGGACCAGCCACGGATCTCGTTCCAGATGTGGGTGCCGGGGCACTCGGTGGCGCTGACCTGGCGATGGCCGTACAGGATGTAGCCGGAGCTGAGCTGGCCACGGTTAACCGCGTCGTTGAGCAGCTGCTGGGCGGCGGAGATCATGTTCGGCTCCAGGGTGTCCCAGTTGTAGTTGCCCAGGAAGCTGATGCCGATGCTGTAGGGGTTCCACTCGGCGGCGTGGGCGCCCATGTTGTTCCAGCCACGGCCCTCGTACACGTTGCCGTCTCCGCCGATCAGGAAGTTGTAGCCGATGTCGGGCCAGCCCAGGGAGTCCATGTGGTAGTTCTGGACGCCCTGCAGCACGGCGTTGCACTGGGCACGGGTCTCGCAGTAGGAGCCGGCGGTGTGGTGGATGATGGCGTAGCTCAGGTAGTTGCCCAGGCCCACGGTCCAACTGGCGCGGCGACCACCCCACTCTGCCTTGGAGACGACGTAGACGCCCTGGGCCAGGTACTGGCTGCAGACCAGGACGGCGAGGAGGAGAGCCACTTTGGAAACCATGATTACCAGCTGTAACAGTTGACAATTGCTTGATGGAGAGGCCAGTCGGCGGGGCGCTTATATAGCAAACTGCGGTCGAAACCCTCATCTTATCGGGTCGAATATAACTGATTTACAACGCTACTCGATGGCACTTGCTCAGATTCGTATTGGGGGAAGCACCTTTGCGAGAGCTTCGTCACAATCTGCTGATTTTGATTTATATTTATGCGATCAGCCATTCCGGTGAGTCCTTATCAAGTCCGATGGCTGGGTTCGCGCATAGTTTTGCGTTTACAACTGCGGGGCTTATTACAAATGATATACTGTAATCACGGAAAATAGTTGCCATTCTATAAGATTCAAAGATTCAATTAGACCTTGTATATTCAAAGGGAAAATGGTACAGGCCATCATTCCAAATTAGGAATCATTGCATACTTTCAGACACTTTTAGGAAGAGTTTCCAGTCGCTAGAGAATTCTGTCGAATTTGAATCAAATAAAAAAAATATATGGCAATAATAAAAAAATAAGTTGAGCAATCCTACCTGGCAGTCTAACGGATATATATAGCTAAGCCCATAATTTGTCAGCCATGATTTCCATAAAAAATATGGACACCTACAGTGAGTACTCAGTCCTGTCAATAAATTGGCGTGGTAAACTAATATCCAAACAGGCCTTCTTAATTATAGCGATTACCTGGAAAACGTAAGTCGCTTACCAAGATGCATACACCCTATTTAAATACCATTTCGTTTCTCAGGTGAGCTGCTTGGCCGTGATGAACTTCCACTTCAGCTACCGTTGCGAAATGGCCAAAAAAATAGAGAACTGCAGATACATCACTAATTTTTTCAATTATTTCGTGCTTATGTACTGTACCTTCAAGATAGACAACAAAATAACTGAAATTGTGGTGATGTTGCTGTTTGGATTGATCTACTGTTTTTTCCTATGCATCCTGTACCTGGGCATCAACCACTAGTGAGTTCGTTAAGTGAAACCAGTTGTGATTTATTGGAGCTCCTTGCAATCCTTGCAGTTTTTTGCCAACGCTGAAAATCGCAGCACTTAGGCTGCGGATAAACGAGTACATGGCGGGCGTCGTGCTCGTGGGCGTGGCCAACTCCACTCCCGATCTCCTGGTCAACCTATCGCCAGTCAGGCAGGAGTCCCTGACCTTCAACATAGCCATGGCCAGCGCCCTGACGATCATATGTCTGAGCGGCGGAGCGGTGTGCTTTATCCGGCCGTTCAGGATGAATGGTCACAGTATTTTCCGGGATCTCCTCTTTCTACTGTTGACCATCGAGCTGGTGCGACTTCTTATAAACATAAAACATATAACGGCATTGGTAAAGGGAATTTGTAAGTTGATGAGATCAGTATATTGCAAAATTGCCAATTGTTTTTCGTTCCAGTGGTACTGACTATTTACCCGATATATCTACTTATTAATGTGGCCGATATCCTCCTGCAGCGTTTCACAATAAATAGTAAATATTTATATTTGTATCTTTGGTATTATTGTAATATTTAAACTTTATCGATGAAGAGCTTCGAAAGGAAATTGAAATTTTAAGACACTCTCCGTCCTCCCAGCAACATGATCTTAGGTTGGCTGACAAAATAATTCTTTTAAATGGTTTCGAGGAGGACGAAGACATCCAAATCCGTGAATCGAAACTACTTCGCCAAAAAACTTTCCAAGCCGGTTTCTTTGTCACTCCCAAGCAGCTATCTCGACACAAGGAAGTGGACGTGGAAGCCAACCGCACAATCCTCCACAACAAGGCCAATCCGAAGAATCTTTTCCTGTTCAGCGAGTTCTTTCGTTCCATCAATCCCATCGACCCAGAGCAATGGTACCTAAGTGGGAAATGTGCCCGAATTGCACTTGTCGCCAAGGTCCCAGTTACTTTTATGCTCCAACTGCTGATCCCATTTGTGGACTTCCAGAAGGTCAAGCATGGGTGGAGCAAGTTGCTGAACTGCATTCAGATAGTGCTAACTCCTTTCGTGCTAGTAACACTGGTTGAGAGTATGTATTCGCGGAGATTATAATTATAATTGTTTTGGATCCCAATTTACCATTTCCATTTCTGTTCCCTAAGCTATGTTTGCACGCAATTACTTCAATTGGCATAACATTATTCAGGTTAACTTCTCGGTGTGGTCTTTAATGGTAACGCTGCCGTTGGCCATAATTGTGTTCTGGCACTCCCGCACTGACATCCCACCGTGGTACCACAGCGTAAGATCACAGCCTTATTAGAACCGCCATTGAAACCAACTTTTCTCCATTAGGTTTATAGCCTGCTCACAATTTCCACCGTTATCATATTCTGTTGGATTTGCGCCTGGGAAATGGATGCGTTGATATCGATCATCGGCATTGTTTTCAATCTGTCCCCATCCTATATGAGCATCACCTTCAACGCGGTGTCTGCTGCGACGGCCGACTTCATTTCCTACGGACATCTTGCCCAGCATGGCTATGGAAAGATGGCTTTTGGTGCCGTCGTTGGTGGTTCGGTGTTCAGTAAGTGGCATACTCCGATACTTTTTATATCCCATGTGGTGCTATGATTTCCAAACGATTTTTTTTTTGTATTTTATCAATAGTTGATTACTCCATATATATTAGGTTGTTTGGTAATGCATACCGGTTTTTACATTCAAATTTCGCGCTTCGCTTGTGAAATCGTATCTAGCAATGCTGTATATCGTTTGAAAGGTATTGGCATCACCTTTAAAATGACATATAGTTTGTTTACATGAGCTTCCACGTTAAAAAATTACAATCGATTGAAATGGAGTTCACAAACGCAGAAAGTCGGGCGTTTTTTAAATTTTATTTCGCACAGGGAAAAACTGCTGCGGAATCTCGCAGACAGATTATTGCTGTCTTAGGAGATAACGAACTTTCGATGCAAACCGCCGAACAGTGGTTTAGGCGATTCCGAAGTGGCAATTTTGATAGCGAAACACCCAAGCCTTCCGGACGACCAGTGACCGTTGATACGGATAAAATCATGGAAATAGTGGATCGAGATCGTCATGTGACTATTAGAACCATCGCAGAGGAGCTGCAAGTAAGCACGGAAACCGTCCATAGGCATTTGAAGTCGAAAAATTTAACAAAAACGCTCGATGTATGGGTGCCTCATGAGTTATCCCAAAAAAACCTTTTCGACCGCGTATCAATCTGCGAATCTTTGTTGCACCGTAATAAACTCGACTCATTTCTAGTTGTCATTGGTGATGAAAAATGGATCACATATGACAACATAAAGCGTAAAAGATCCTGGTCGGAGCAAAAACGCTCGATGTATGGGTGCCTCATGAGTTATCCCAAAAAAACCTTTTCGACCGCGTATCAATCTGCGAATCTTTGTTGCACCGTAATAAACTCGACTCATTTCTGGATCGGTTAGTCACTGGTGATGAAAAATGGATCACATATGACAACATAAAGCGTAAAAGATCCTGGTCGGAGCACGGTGAGTCGTCTTAAACGGTGGCAAAGCCAGGACTGACGGCTCAGAAGGTGTTGCTGAGTGTATGGTGGGATATCAGAGGAATTATCCATTATGAAGTGTTGCCCTATGGCCAAATCATCAATTCTGACCTCTACTGTGAACAATTGGAGCGATTGAAGATTGCACTTGAACAGAAGCGGCCAGCCATGGTGAATCGTAAGGGCGTTGTGTTCCATCATGACAACGCTAGGCCCCATACATCTACGGGAGCTTGGTTGGGAAGTGTTAATGCATCCACCTTATAGTCCGGACATTGCCCCAAGCGATTACCATCTGTTTTTGGCCATGCAAAATTTTTTCGATGGACAAAAATTGAGTTCAAGGGAGGATTGTGAAAATCGAATCGCCGAGTTTTTTGCCAGTAGGGACAAGGACTTCTTTAGGAGAGGCATATACAAGTTACCATCAAAATGGCAGAAAATCAACGAAGACAACGGTACATATAGCACTTAAATCGGACAATGCTAACTATGTTAAAATCGTCGTAAAAAATCAATAAAAAACCGGTATGTCATTACCAAACAACCTAATATTTCGCTTTTGTTTTTGCGCATAAATTCATAATAATTATTTCGCGCCTGGCCATACTATATCATTATAGGTATACAGTTATTGTTAAATCGTATTGTAGATCGCATCATCCTCAACTTGCATATATTGTATCGTCTATCACTTAGCGACTAAACAATTTTGTACAGATTTAAAAAACAGAGGAATGCTTTAACGATGATGACATAAACAAATTATGACGTGGAAGCCCACTAAAGTAACGTATTGACATTTTTCAAATGGCGTCTACTTAACATACACAAAAATGAACATGGGTGTGTTTCAGTGCGAGTCTGTGCTTTTAAAATGTTGGCACTCATCCTTGAGAGTTGTGACTACTACAGGATAATTAGGGAAATTTGTATGCGATTACAGAATAAAGATTTAAAATAAATAGAATCTTGAACAATTTTTCATGAAAATATTAACCGATTGTCTACGAAAGTTTAATATAATATAATAGACAACTTGATACAAAAAATGTATGCAATAAGTTTACATAAGCACAAGTTCACATGTGTATTTAAACCCATGGTGCATTTTATCACATGGTATCATTAAAGGATATATAAGAAGTAGAAAAACGGTTAATAATAAAAAATAAATAATGTACTAATACATTTTCCAAATGAATTCTGATTAGTAGTGAGCTATAATTGGGATTATACAAAAATTCTATTAGCCGCGTATTGGTAGTAACTTTTTTTATTACGCTAAGTAAGTTAGCTATTTTAACGCTTATGTTATAATTAAGTTTTTTTTCCTGGTGAAACAAGCCGAAACTCGACCCAGAGTGGGCCAAGATTTCTAATCCGCATCAACAGGCGAGTCGATCCAGCCATGTCCATGTTTCTACGCAAACTAGTCCTTCAGTTGTGAAGCTATTTGGATAGAATTTTTTAAAAAGTTTTTTATGTTGCAATCGGAGAAAATAAGGGAAATAGAATTATAATTTCGTCGTTTCCTAACATATATCTATATATTCAGAAACGTAAAAAGCAAAAATCGGATCGGCCGACTATATCCTATAGCTGCCATATAACTGAGTCTTCTTAAAGTCGGATTACTTGACTTTACAATTATTGTACGGTGCACCTATATTTGATCCTATATTCCACAGATATGGTTGTCAACGTTGGCATCGAGTTTGTGATGCAGAAAAAGGTCGACTCGCACGGCCAAGTGGTTTTGTTCGGAGGTGAGGGCGAGACCATCTACATTTTTCTGGTGTTAACCATCACAACCACCATGTGGTGGTGCCTGACCTTCAACTTCCTTGCCCGCCGATCCGCTGGTGTGTTTTTGTGGTGCCTATTCATATTGTTCCTCATTTACTCGACTGCCATTGAATTTGAGTGGGTCCATGGCTTTGAGGACAACCCCCACATCCACCCGGTTGCTGAATAAAGTTGCCGAGTTGTGTTCTAAATATACAAAATATATGTTTTCTGTGCGCGTGAATTTATTGATTGGGGTTTGCATTAAGGACCTAGCCCGACCAGTGGGACCAGCCGCGGATCTCGTTCCAGATGTGGGTGCCGGGGCACTCGGTGGCGCTGACCTGGCGATGGCCGTACAGGATGTAGCCGGAGCTGAGCTGGCCACGGTTAACCGCGTCGTTGAGCAGCTGCTGGGCGGCGGAGATCATGTTCGGCTCCAGGGTGTCCCAGTTGTAGTTGCCCAGGAAGCTGATGCCGATGCTGTAGGGGTTCCACTCGGCGGCGTGGGCGCCCATGTTGTTCCAGCCACGGCCCTCGTACACGTTGCCGTCTCCGCCGATCAGGAAGTTGTAGCCGATGTCGGGCCAGCCCAGGGAGTCCATGTGGTAGTTCTGGACGCCCTGCAGCACGGCGTTGCACTGGGCACGGGTCTCGCAGTAGGAGCCGGCGGTGTGGTGGATGATGGCGTAGCTCAGGTAGTTGCCCAGGCCCACGGTCCAACTGGCGCGGCGACCACCCCACTCCGCCTTGGAGACGACGTAGACGCCCTGGGCCAGGTACTGGCTGCAGACCAGGACGGCGAGGAGGAGAGCCACTTTGGAAACCATGATTACCAGCTGTAACAGTTGACAATTGCTTGATGGAGAGGCCAGTCGGCGGGGCGCTTATATAGCAGCCTGCGATCCCGACCAGCATGGCATCTTATCGGATAGTTAATGGATGATTTACGACTCTGCTCATTGGCACATGCTTAGATACGTAGCAGGGGAAGACCCTCGGCGCGAACTTCGTCACAATCTTCTGGTGTTGATTTATTTAACATTTTGTAACGGCTCTTTTAAATAACTTTCTTATCACATTGTTATGGCCGACACAGTGGCTGGCCATATGCACGATTTTGAGAAAAAATTTAATCAAAAGGTATTTCGTTAGATTTCCGTCACTATTAACAATATTATTTCACATATTGAAGCCACTTGGAAAAGGAAACTTCATACAATGAGTGCGCGCACGAGAAGCCCCGAATTGAACATAACAGAACTGGATTTCGAGTTTCACTACTTTCTTAAGAATGTAAGAACCTGAACTTTTTTAAGGCGCAATTCATTGAGGTCCTTTGCTCGCCAACACAGATAAGCTGCAGGGCCGTGATGAGGCTCCCATATTCATATCGCTGCAAGATGGCCACCCAAGCCGACGACTGCCAACGAATCATAAACTTCTTCAACTACTTCAGGATGATGTATTGCTCAATTGACATTGATGACAAAACAACAGAGGTCCTGTTCATGTTCCTGTTTGCGTTCATTTGTGTGGCCTTCCTGTGGCTGATGTCCTTTAACATCAGTACTTAGTAAGTTCTTGTTTACATGGGACATGTCTGCATCTCCTTTTTGAGAACCCGCAGCTTTTCCCCCATACTAAAGATAATCTCGTTGAAGTTGCACATGAATGAGTACCTGGCAGGTGTAACATTCCTGGCATTCGGAAACTGTAGTCCTGAAATAATTGCCAACCTGATGCCCGTGAGAGCCGATGCACCGATCTTCACCATAACTGTGGGTAATACCCTGGCCATCATACTTCTGAGTGGCGGTGCGGTGTGTTTTCTGAGACCTTTCAAAATGAACGGACCTTGCACCCTGCGAGATCTATTGTTTCTGCTGCTAGGTGTGGAGGTCCTTCGATTCGTGATGATCAAGGAGGGAGCGGTGACCATCTGGGAAGGTATCGGTAAGTTCACTGCCCTACTTAGACTGTCACTACTAATCGCTAACACCCTTAGTGCTTTTTTCCATTTACGTACTCTATGTGGGAATCAACATAGCCGATGTTGTACTATTGCGTTTTCACATCAGGAGTAAGTTATTAATACTTCTTTCTTGTGGTTTGGTATAGCCAGGTAATCTACCCTTCAGAGCTTCGAAAAGAAGTGGAAAATCTAGCGAGTTTAACTCCTCCACCGAAGCAAGAGCTAGCGGCAAAACTGCAGAAACTGACTTTATGGGAAGAGGAGGATGATATTCGGATCCATGACACAGCGAAGTACCGCCCGTCCAGGGAATCCGGTCGCCACTTCTCCGATCCCGTCTACTTCGTCACCCCCAGACCCGCAGAACGACCCGAGGCAGTCGACTATGATGCCAATCGCACTAACCTGCACAATTCGGAGAACCCCAAAAACCTTTTGCTCTTCACGGAGCTCATCCAGTCCCTCAATCCCATTGATGGGGAGGCCTGGCAGTTGGGCGGCAGGTGCAATCGCATATACCTCATCGTCAGGTGCCCCCTGGTATTCGTACTGCTGCTGTTCATTCCCGTGGTGGACTACGAGAAGGACAAGCACGGCTGGAGTAAGCTGCTCAACTGCACGCAGATTGTGACCAATCCGTTTGTGTTCATTACCCTGGTGCACTGTAGGTATGCGAGCACTCTTTGCGGATGCATCCGAGCTCTAACACCTGGCTTCTCCAGCTGCGGTGACCAGTGAGTACCACACCTGGTACATAACCCTCGACTTCAGCATCTCGATGTGGTCCCCGTGTCTGACCATCCCCCTGGCCATTGTGATCTTTTGGCATTCTCGGACGGATGTGCCGCCCGTTCTACCACACCGTAAGAAAAAGTCCAATCAGAGGCACTGCTGATTGATCAATTTCGAACTGGTCCTACCGTCTTTCCCAGCTTTTTGTTATCCTGACCTTTTTCAGCTCCATGGTCACCATTTGGTTTACCGTCACCGAAGTGGAAGTTCTCTCCGAGATCGTAAGCATTGTGTTTAATCTATCCGAGACCTTTATGGCGGTCACCTTTGAGGCCGTTTCGAATGCCACCCCGGATATTATAGCCAATTCCCAGCTTGCTATGCAGGGTTACGGGCGGATGACCTTTGCCGCCATTATTGGTGGTCCAGTTTTTGGTAAATAAGAGCAGTAACCCCACTTTACTTTCTTGATAATACATACTCGAACATTTCAGCGATTTTGGTCAGCATGAGCTTGGCCTTCATTTTCAATCACAGAGTTCGCGAGGCAGGCGCCAATTTGTGGGTGTACGGCGATCAAGGCGAGAACTGCTACATATTCCTGGTAATAACCATTGTGACCACATTGTGGTGGTGCCTTACCTTCAACTTCTACGCCCGTCGATCAGCCGGAGTGTTCCTGTGGCTTATTTACTTGCTGTTCCTTGTCTATGCAGTTTGTGTGGAGTGGGATGTGGTGCATGAATTTTCTAGAGATCAATATATTGAACCAATATGATTGGTAATAGCTTTTATGTTGCTTAATTGTTGTATTACTTTTATTTATTTAATTTACTTACTCATATTCCTATGAAGAACGTATTAAACTGATATAATGTTCTTTAGAATTTGTTGATGAAATGCTTATTAGACTAAGGATTGGATTAGTCTTGATAAATATTTGAAACGAACTACAGATCTCATCACAATAACCATGCCCCAGGCTTTCGCTTCTGCCAACGCACTGACTAATTACGTTAATGAAGTATCATGATTAAAACATTGCCAAGGGAAATGCTTTCGAAAGGCGTCGGCAAAGAGCAAAAGAACTGTCGGAGGTCCATTGAAATGCAGCGAAGTAGACACTCTTGGCAAACTGTCCCGTTCCGACGCTCCAGTTTCACTGCATTAAAAAACGTATTGCATAATGAAGGAAAACTGATGGCAACGACGGGGAAAGCTTCTCATTAATTAGGGTTAAAGTGACTGGATGTTGGTGTGCTGTCAACGTTCAAGGGGCGAGTGATTTGTGCGACAATGATACTGGGGGACTTCAGCTCAGACGACTGGCTTCTTGGATGAGCTAAGGTAATCGACCGGCGAAAATAGGACAGTTATTCAATGCAATGCACTGCAGTCGGAAGAATATTTAAGTATTTAACTATAATATGTTCGAAAATGCAATAAATATTTTAAATTTAACTTAGCCAAGTCATTATGCAAATATTACAGATAAATCTTTTTTGGGTTATAATCGTAGTTTTCGGGAGTGCCTCAGCCGAACTTAATATAAAATGTTGCTTTGAAAATGTTTGCGTCTCTTCTGAAAAAGCAAAGGTAATACAACATTTGAAATATAACAAGGTATACAATATTTTCAATTTATATAAGTTAGGTGTCAACTTCTAATTTATTTTAAATCTTAACTTTGTTTTAAACTACCCTGATATTATTTAAATGCCCATATAGGCAATAGATTTTCTCAGTGCACCACCCCTGGCAGAGTTAATATTGACTCCAGATGTAAATTTCACTTGATTCCGGCTATTATGGCAACTGCAGCTAAAACATAACCATTAGATTTAAGTACAATTGCATAAACAAGAAGTGCTGGCTCAAAAAGAGGGAAAAAAGACGAAGCGGAAGCCAACTTCCGCTCCAACTTCTGAGGCAAATGCCACGCAGAATTCCGGCAGCAATAAAAGCACTCAACTCCCTTAGACTTCCCGTCTATCTGTCCATCTGTTCATCTGTCCATCCGCCAGACCCTCTATCTGTGCACTTAATGTGACATGTTTTTGCAACAGCTTTGGTTTCTCCTTTCGCCACTCGAGATTCCGATTCCCATCACCACACCCAGCAGGGAGCTCCATGGCCATGAGATTTGATGCATTTTGCTTGTTACCAAATTGTTTTGCATTTTCCTTCACGTTTTTACGTAGACCTGCAGTCCCGGATTGAATGCAAAAACGAGAGGATATATTCGCTTTTTCTATGCAATTGGCTTGGTCTTGGCATGATTCGGTGTGAAAGTCATCAAATATTTAAAGCACAAGTGCGGAATCGCATCCTGATTGTCAGTGATTGTTTATGCAAGAGGGGAAATTGATTTCAAATGATCCATCTTGGGGATGAGTTCAAGAATTTTGTGCTAAATTTTCGTATTTAAGGAAAAATGAATTCTGGAGCATTTCCAGTTTCGAAAAGCTCTTTGGTATCAGTAATTCTTGTTATTATTTTAAAGTTTAATTTCGACCGACAAGCCTCTGTTTGCATGTTCATTTGCTATCGCTTATGCATGAATTTATTTATAATGCTGTGCTTTTTAATCAACGCGGATTTTTTTATTGATCGTCATAAATTGTATAGTATCTTCGGAACGTGCGAGTAATATACAACTTTAAATTCGAAAAATCATTCTGTACACGTTTGCGGATCTCTTTCTTTGTAGATACAAAACTTAGAGCGTTTTATAATAGCAACCTAAATTATAAATCTTTGTGGACACCCTTTAACTGTACTGTGCAATGGGTGAAGCTATTCTTTTATTTTTGACAGAAGTAAAAACTATTTATAAATTCTTTAAAAAACGAAAAAAACCTCATATTTTTCTTAATAAACAAAAATATACCAAGGAGATGCCAAACATATTTCACGTTGCAGCTTGCAACCAGCTATTTCCGCAGTAAAACTTTGCGCTGCAGTTGTCAGTTCGCTAAATGGAAAATATTTCAGACCAGCCAGGGCAACATTTATTTATGGGGCGAGGCGAGTAGACACCATATTAAATAACTTGAAAGAGAAGATTTATGCCTGGAGACGGTTTGCAGTTCTGGACGCCGCTAATACTGCTACCCATAAATTGCCGCTTTGCATTATAACTCAATTAGCCAGTGGATGGGTTGCGTATACGCCAGGTTGTCCAGCAGTTACAGAAACAGTTACATTTACAGCTGTACTAGTGAATTATGCAAGCCCTAATTAACGTCAAGCGGCAGGGGAACCCCTGATTCCGGCTGTTGTAGCAGCATTTGTAGGTCACCTTCCACCCAGGCCTCCAAATCCGTTGGGCCTGGCTGGGTGCACTTGTTGTGGGCTAATGAATCGGCTGCCAGGGGTCTTGCCTTCATGTCTGCGGCTTGCCTGCAATTAGCGCCGACTCACATTTGACTTAACCGCCTTGTCATCGAGGAGGTGTGAAGAGCGGCAGCATGTAGCCAACGGCGCGTATGCGTAATCCTGCTGCTCCATTGCATTACTTCCAGTAGGTAAGTGTTATTTGTGGAAGATTACGACTGCTCGCCTTATTATTTCAAGAACATTATTAATTAACGGAACTAGTCAAAACAACCAATTTCAAATTAGTTTGAAAAATATGTAAATCAGTTTAATTTTAAATACTGTTTTCAAAAAGCAGGTGTTGTCATAAATTATTAAATAAAATAAGTTCCCATTTTACAATGTACCAACTGACGCGAAATTTCATCTCAACTTAATAATAATATTAATAATATAACCGCGAATTCTTTAGCTATAGATTCTCCACACATTTTAAGCTTTGACAGCTATAAAAAGTTATACACCGAAAATATGCAAAGAAAATCGAATTCTTAAAACCTATCATGTTTTTGGGCATTACCACGAACTTAAGCCCTTTTCAGTATATTTTTGGTATATATCTAATATAGCCTGGTGACTCCTTAACACTGTTTATACTTTTACACATTTACATACCCTAATTTATTTTACAAAACCTTTTAAAAAGATTCAAAATGTTTGAATGATTAGGTCTAAAAATACAGTTTACATTTACAAAAAATTAACCAATGAACAATAAAGACTCTTAAACTTGGGCCTTTAAGCCCAAAAGTCCGTAGTCCATTTCGAAAAACGACCTTAGTTTTTTCATTGCATTCTTTTAAGTCATTTCAAAATACCAGTGATTTATGTGGCACCCCATTATTAACAGACTTTAAAGAGCACTATTTTCTAAGTTATTATTTATTTTTATAATAACACACTGATACAATTTCTGTCAGTCTAGATATCACCGAAAGCAGCTTGAAGTGGCATGTCCACGGAAAACGAATGAATCACTTTTCCATGAATCAAGATGGCAAAAGTCAGATAGATACAGTAGAAGACCACGCAAAAGATGCCCATGGAGCGCCGGGCGAAAAATCCCAACGTTGTGGACCAGAGCAGTGCGGAGAAAAGGCCAATGTTCAGAAAAATGAAAGCGTTTCCACCGTAATTGCCCGTCTGGCTTAGTAGCGTGACCTTGTAGCCGAACAGATTTCTGACGTGCAGCACAGTGCTCGAGGACAAGACGACGGCTGCGGGTTCAGAAGTGGTTAAGTGTGACCCGATCGGCATCCGCAATGCTCACTGAAGAAGGGTCCCCCGATGGCAGAAGCGTAGGCCATCTTCGGGTAGCCGTGCAAGGCCATCGCGATGTTGGCAATGAGCGGGCCCAGGCTGCCCGTACAGGCCTTCACCGTGGCGCCCATGAAGTCGTCCTCGACGTCCATCAAATGGCCAATCACTTCCAGGACCTTGTCTATTTCCGTGGCACAGGCAAAGATCATGAACATGGACCCAGTCAGGTTCATTACGGTGAACATCTGCGAAGGGAAGCAGGACCTTTGTTATTACCAACAAGATTGTGCCTTACTTTCTCACCGAGTGGTAAAATGGTGGCATGTCGGTTCGGGATTGGATGAACATAAAGAGGGCTATTGGCATGGTAAAAGGCAGGGAGTAGAGTCCATAAACGTACTCATCGCCTATGGCCACGTACCACAGGGTGTTGCCATTGGAGCTAATCAAAGCTGCCAGAGAAAGGGAGCATTAATGGTTATAGTCCACGGGTAAGATCATAGCTTCTATAGTTTCACCTTTGATGACAATAATGGTGCACGCCGGATTGAACATTACTTGAAAGCAATTCAGCAGCTTGTTCCAGCCGTGTTTATCCAGTTCGTAGTCGACCAGGGGGATATAGATGCTGCATAGCAACACACACGGAATCTGGGTCAACATCAAGGCCCGCTCGATCATGTTGGCCTTCTGCCACTTCTTGCAGCTCAGGGGCCTCAGGGCCAGGAAGAACTCTTTGAACAGTCCCCAGTTCTTTCCCAGCGTCTGGTTGTGCCTCACATTTCGAGTTTTTTTTTGGTTGACGCTCACTCGGGTATTGCGTGCCATTCGCATGGTGGTGTACCGTATTTTGTTGATGTTGGGTCCCGAACTGCTCCTCTCGAAAATCTCCACTTCCGCATTCCGGCTATAAGCCGCCTGATCTTTTTCCAGCATGCTCAGCTGCCTTCGTCTTTCCGGGGTCAGTTCTTCCTCCATGATAGCATCGATTTGAGCATTCGTTGCTGTTAGACTGAGACTGTAAAAATCATTTCGAGAAAATATAACTCTACTAGTTACCGTTTAAGGCCCTCCGAATTAGGTAGACATCCGCTACATTCACAAACAAGTAGGATACGTACACCAGAAACATAACTAAATGGTAGGGGAAAATGTATACTAGAAAATTAAGCAAATTGATTTCCCGGTTACCAATAAGTTCAGGCTCAGTCACTCGGTTGTCGGTTGACAGAAAATATTGAAGCAGCGACGAGCCGAAAATAAGAAACAAAATGTCCCGAACACTTTCGTAGGCGTTCATCTTGAAGGGACTCATGTAGCAGACCAGGCCACCAGAAACCATGGACACAAACAGGGCAGCGGCCAAAGCGTTGGCGAACACAGGCACATTCGACCCAACGCTGGCCAGGTTGGAGAACAGGTCGGCGGAGCTGTTCCCGAAGGCCAACAAGGTCACGCCCGCCACATGCTCGTTCATATGGAGGAACTTCGACACGGCCTTCAGAGCAGGACTGTAGCTGAAAGTACACAATTGTATTGAGCTCCATTACTACATCGATTTCTGCCCTGCAATCCTTTCGGTTACTTTTGTATCGCTTTCTTTGATGAGGTTACTAATTAATTATTGGGAAATATTAAATATTAAGAAAAAGCTAAAAATAATCTTCCTGTAATTTCTGGGAAAGTTATTTGTCAGAAAGATATTAATCAAATTAAATAAAACTATTAACGAGAATGGAGCGAAATTAGGCTACCCAGTTATATAAGAAATTAAAACACTGAGAAAAGCAGCACAAGTTTTAATTGCAAGCAGTGGATCGGAATCTTTTGAACAATAAAATGCTTCCTACAAATTTTGATCTACAAATACTTTTAAAGTGTTTTGTTTAGCTTTTTAACATATTTATACCCGTTACTCGTAGAGTAAAAGGGTATATTGTATTCGTGCAAAAGTATGTAACAGGTAGAAGGAAGCGTTTCCGACCCTATAAAGTATATATATTCTTGTTCAGGATCACTAGCCGAGTCGATCTAGTCCGTCTGTCCGTCCGTATGAACGCTGAGATCTCGGAAACTATAAAAGCTAGAAGATTGGCATTTTGCATGTAGATTTTAGGAGTTCCTACGCAGCGCAAGTTTGTTTCAAAGTGGTGCCACGCCCCCTCCGACGCCCACAAGCCACAAGCTGTGGCCACAGTTTTGCTGATATTATGAAAATTTTAATTGATATGTATTTGTTTCGTCAATAAATATCGATTGGCCTAATAAAAGTTTGCCACGCCCACTCTAACGCCCAAAAACCCATTAAACGCTTAAGCCTGGCTAGCGCCTACATTTCCGCCTTTCATGGCGCCATCTAACGGATGACTTTGGAACAGCTGGCCAAGGTGCTCAACAGAGTCAACGTTAATTCTCGATAAGGATTTCTATTAAAGGAAATTGCGATGGTTTTCATTTGTCAATACCGAACTATATATCCCAAGAACTATGCAAATCAAATCTAGTTAGCCAAATTGGAGGTCTGAGTCAAACAACAACATATGTATGTATATACATTGTACACAGTTGCAATTGCCCGGCAAAGATAACTCCTTTCAAAGAAAGCTATTCGCTATACCCGTTACTCGTGTTGTGCAAACATTTAGACTTTAATATACATAATACTATTTAAGAATGTATGTGTTTAGCCAATATAAGTATGTACATATGTTTAATATTTCTAGTCAATTTATTGCACTCAAAAACATAAACATAAACACAGCTGCTGGTGCAGGACAAAAGCTGCCTGCGCTAAAGCAGCGCTGGTGCTGATGCTCGTACTGTAAAGCTGCCAGCCCTAAGAGATCTTTTAACTTTTTGTCCTTTTTTCCTGTGGTCACTATAATTCACATTATGTTAAAAAAAAAACAAAAAAAAACACAAGAAGGCATATTTATATTAAGTTGTTTAGCTGAGTAACGGGTATCTAATAGTCGAGGCACTCGACTATAGCGTTCTCTCTTGTTTTACCTTGATTTTCCCCTAAAACGTTATCAGGTATAATCTATAGATTTGATAACACAATTTTCTCTATGTTAGTGAGTTTGGCTAAATCATATCCGATCTGCTAGTTTTCTGGGAATATACTGCGATAAGCGGACGAAGAGTCATCTTTGGATAAAAACTAAAAAATAGTTTAAAAATTAAATGAAAACTTTAAATTATCACTGTAGACGGCACAACACGAGGTAACGACTAGCACTTTTAAAGTGTGAGGGGAGACTATAATAACTATTATTATTATTGTGACTACGATAGGACTAGATAGGTACGACAGATGGAGACAGGAGTTCTAGAATGAATGCCCATCTAATAAGATGAGATTCTTAATATTCAGACACTCACTAGTTGTTGCACACGTAGATCAGTAGGACTAGTATCTGAAAACATAGCGCAACAAACAAAGTGATGTAGATCAACTGCTCGAATTCATTAATGCACTTCAGGTGGCAAGCCAGGATCCTCATATAGGGCAGTACATTGGTGCTCCGGTTGCAATCCTTGGCCTTCATCACGAAATCGCACCGCTCCTCGAAGGGGAATGTGTTGGCCGCGAAGCAACTGACCTTGTCCCAAAAGCTTTCGAACTCCGCATCCATTTCGTTGGGCTCATAGGTCTCACGGTTCATGGTGGCCTTTGTAGTGTTGTAGGTGTGTGCCAGGGCAAAATTTAAAAACAACTGACATGATTTCTGGGGGCTTCCTTAACTCCAAATGTCTACTATGTGACAGTTATTGGGTATTCGCCTCCAATGCTCAAGCCATTTTTAAATTTACCACGCACCGCTGAGTAAACTTAAAAACTTAAATTGTCTATTAAGCTTTAGAATTCGCTATTTGAAATAACGTTTTAGTAACCTGAACGTAGTTCAGTGCCTGGAATAACAATGTTTATCTATGGGTAATGATATATAGGCCTTCATTTTTATTTCACACACAATTTCGGATAACAAAAATGTCACCCACTGAAAAATTTCCAAAAGAAAAATTGACAGCCAGCTTGTCATCCTCGCAATGTTTTAAACTCAAAAAAGAAAATCGGTGGTACCTGTTAGCTAGGGATTACTGGACCCTGTCAACCTAGTCGATAAATGAGACTTTCCATTCGGCCCAATACACCGGCAGAACTCTAAAATTGACTCGAACGTAGGGCCCAATATAGAATGTAAAAAGAGCCAACTCCAACTGGCATCCGCTTGTTGCTTCGCTCTTTGGCATTGAATCGGGAAGGCCTCCAGTGCAAAATGGTCAGCCAGCTGCCCGCACAGTCCGCCCATTTAGTCAAGCTCGCTCCGTCCGGTCAGGTTCCCGTTTCCGTGGTCAGCAACCTCCAGAGCCCCCGTTCGAGTCCCGGTCGCCGGACGCTCGTCCCGATCCTGTTCGCCGGCGAGCTGGGCACCTACATCAGACGCCTGCTGGGCCACCTGGCGGCGAAGATCTGTGCGCTGCTTCGCCCGGTCCTGGGAGTCGCGGGGGTCACGTACCGGGATGTGGCCCTGTCCCCGGCCATGGCCCAACGGCTGGCCTCGGTGGGCCGGAAGACGCTGGTCTTGGACCTGGACGAGACCCTGGTGCACTCCTGCTACAGCGACGCGGAGCACCGCGAGAGCGGCAACTGCGCCCAATTACCCGCGGGGGCGCGGCCCGATTACCTGCTCAGCGTGTCGATCGATGGCCTCGAGCCGATCTCCTTCCAGGTCTACAAGCGGCCGCACGTCGACGTCTTCCTTGACTTCGTTTCCAAGTGGTACGACCTGGTGATCTACACGGCCAGCCTGGAGGTGTATGCCGCCCAGGTGGTGGACCTGCTGGATGCGGGACGAGGAATGATGCCGCGCCGCTTCTACCGGCAGCACTGCCGCGCCTCCACGTCACTGGTCACCAAGGATTTGACCCTGGTCAGTCCGGACATGAGCGGCACCTTCATCATCGACAACTCGCCCTACGCGTATCGCGATTTTCCGGACAATGCCGTCCCCATCAAAACCTTCATATACGATCCGGACGACACGGAGCTGCTGAAACTGCTGCCCTTCCTGGATGCCCTGCGATTCACCAAGGATGTGCGATCGATCCTCGGCCGCCGTGTTAACAGCTTGAACTCCGCTGTTTCGGGGTCCCGGATTTGAATCTCTCAAGCCAGAAGCAATCCAGTGAAATATGTAATACTGAGCCAAGTCGCGCTAATAATAGATGATAGGGAGCCAGGCATTGCACGAATAGAAGCAACAATAAATAAAAAAGGCCAATTTTTATATATTTTTTGAAATGTAAATTATAGTTCTACTTCATATTAAATTAGTTTTTCTTTATTGTGCATTTAATTAATAAATTAATTAAGTTTAAGTAGTTTGGGATTCATATTAGTGCTAAAGAAGCTAAGAAAACCATTGGGAAATCTGTAAGGAATTTAAGACATTATCTAGATCAAGAAGTTATTACAAAACGAATACATTTCGATTTCTATGCCTATATAACTAAAAACAATGAAGCTATGTCGATTTTGCGCTGCATTTGACTCACCAAAACCTGAATCTATCAATATTCAAATGAGGAAATATAGATTAATTTTAAACGCATATGCCATGTTGTAGAATTTATCTGTACATTTTTACAAAACATCACATTAGTAACAACTTTGAAGAGCCGACCACCTATGTCAAATTGTTGAATATCGAACAAAGAAGGAAATAACCTTTCACTTAATTCATACCTCTAGAATTTGGTATTAAAACCTCAAAAAGTAAAAAAGATTTGTTAAATTATTAGTAGACATCGAATTCTAGGTAAAAACAAATTGTAGTTTTAATAGTTTTGGTTTTAATTTTATAAAAATTGGTAACTAAAATAAAAAAAAACATATTCAAGATATAATCATTTTTTAAATATTAATTTTAAATATTGGAAGTTATTGATTAAACTCGAGGTCACACGTTGGTCATATGATATTTTAATTTCTTCTTCTATAACACAACGTTTATTTTCATTTAACTTTCATAATATAACACTCAACTCAGTTTAAATATCGATAAGAAAACAAGACGAAGAAAGTACAATTATTTTATTTAATCCATAAGGTTTCAGTAGGCTTATTAAAGAGAGATCGAATTTTTCAGTTCAACGTCGTCACACTTTTTCATGAAACGACGGCAAATTCATAGTCGACTTCTGTGTCTAAGCGAATACATGGAATGGTGTTTATACACACACATATTTTTAATGTCATGAAAAGATGGCATAGTAATGGTAGTGCTTCAGAGCATTACATTTGAGCTAGTGCTGCAAGGGTATATTTTTCTCCGTTTCTTGTTTTTAAAATTCAAGCTATGTTGGCTTGCATTTTAAACTGCAGCTGAATGCTTTTGTTTTAAACACGGTTGTGTATTTATATTAAAAACTCTAAGCCTTTGCGGCTCATGCTAATTGCAGGCCATTTATCCTTTAATCAACCCGAGCCATTTGAGACACTGCCATGGAAAGCAGCAGCATATGGACTCACCTCAGCCCAGATGCATTTTACTGCTCATACACCAGGTGGCATGATGGCTGTTTTTTTGCGCTTCCCGTGTGTGAGCAGAAGTTCGGTGAACGCCAGCTGCATGCAAATGCAGGAGCGTAATGATGTTGCGGCTTTTTGACTTTACACGGCCACAGAAAAAGCCACAACGCTGAGCCACCTGATGCCATCCTGCCGTGCCGGAAAGTTGCAAAAGTTTAAATTGAATTCTTAATTATGGCGCACACGAGGCTGCAATTTTAATGCACACATTTTTGGGGCAGGGCAGACCAAAATATTTAGATAATAATTTAGTTTTCCTGTAAATTGTCAAATGCGCACCGGCTACCAAGAGAGCCCCATGATAGAATTTATTTTTTCCTATTTTTTGGGGATCAAAGAGATTCATGCTGGCCCAAGCTGATTTATGTGAATTTGTGCCCGGCAAATTTTGATTTGTAGCTCCATAAAATGTTTCAGCTGGCGAACGAGTAAAACGAGCCGAATTCCATGAAACAGTAGCTATGGCAGGCATGGTTATTGAAATCCAGCAGATAACTTGGCGCAGGAGCAGGCAGCGGCAGCCAACGGTGCGTATGAGCAATCAGTCAGCCAGTCAGTGAGTCAGTTAGCTACCGATATCTGAATTTTTTATGCTTCGCCTAGTGTGAATTTGCCGTAGGTCTGAAGCTAACTTTAAAATCTGTTTCCTAGCGGCTCTTTAAGAGTTATAAAAAAAAATGTTTTTTAACTCAACGAATTGACCAACGAATTTGACCAAGGGTCAAGTAAAAAATGTTATGATTTATTTCTCAGCTCAAGTATTTTCTCAGAAATAGAGAATTTTAATTTAATCTATTTTTGTAAGTTTTTTTCTTGCTTGTGGTTTAGTTGTCCTGCGGTCTTCTCCATGGTCTTTTTGTTTTCCTTGTTTAACTAGCTTATTAGCCCGAAAATGTGGTAGCATGCAAATCGAGAAAAAGTGACTTACTAATTATCTTTTTGCATTGCAAATGGAGCTGTGCGGCTTTTAAGCTTCTGTCAAAATAAACAGACTAAAAAGCACGTCGTAAACTATATGTAGTCCATTCTAATTGACTGTGAGTCACTGGAAATATTTTATTGTTCGTTGTGGTTTTTCCAACTTGGCCAAAGGCCAATTAACAATGCAAACTGAAATACCGAGGCATCAGAGGGGGGAAGCCGGAAAGTAAGTGAATTCATTTAGCTCTCAAACCCCAACTTAAACCTCTCGGAAGACCTCTTGGCAATCAGAATCGGCGGCTTAAGCTGCACATAAATCTTGCATTGAATGGCTGGGGAACTTTCACCTGTTCCGCCATAAATTTCCATTTTCCATTTCCAGTGCCACCACTCAATTTGGCTTAAACGCCCTACCATTCAATGACAACATTTTTGGGAGGACGAATAGAGCAAGTTGCCTGAATAATTGATCACATTTCTTTGGCAATGAAGGCTTTGGCTTGTCAGAGCAATGCTGATAAAAATTAGGAAATCAATTTAGTTACTCGAATTACTTAACTATGGAAATAAATCTGGGCTATAGTTTTATATACTGTCTAATAAAGCAAAGAACGCACTAATTAATTCACTATATTAAAGAACCTTTACAATTCATTTCAATGTGAATAGATTTAAAAAATTTATAATTAAATATTTTCGAAGTTCCAAATGATACGTTTAACTTATTTTTTTATTCAAAACGTTGTTTAACATATTAAGAATAAGTTATTAAACGGAAAATACTCTTAAAGCAATGGTGGGACTATTTTAAAATAGGTAAATATGTGTGTGAGAATTTTGGTATGAGAATTTTTTTATTTTAAGGACCATAAAATGAAAAGGGGAAATGTTTGCTGAGATTATTTGATCTGAGATTTTGCTGCTGCTTAACCTAAAATCGATCAATTGTAGGGAACCCGTTCTTCAGCATTTGCTCATCGATCCAGTTCCTCAGGTAGGCCACATTCGTGTAGACCGCGGGCAAATCCTTCTCGGCGCATTCGATGCCCCAGGACACGATGCCCACCAGCTGGTAGCGGTCCGTCTGTCCGGGCATCGTACAGAACAGGGGGGAGCCGCCGTCGCCCTTGCAGGTGTCCTTGCCCTCCACCCCGCCGGCGCAAAGGAAGCTGGCATGGAAGCGGTAGCGACGGCCCAGGATTGTGCGGCGCAACAGGCGCTGGCAAGACTCGTGGTCCAGCACCGGCAGCTCGATGCGCTTCAGCAGGTGCTCCATTACGCGGGACGTGCTGTTCCTGTGCCCCCAGCCGGTGGCTACGCAGTGGACATTCTGCAGGTGATCTTCCAAGTCGGGCGTCTTCGCCGGCGGCAGGCAGATGGGCTGGATGTGCGGCGCCAACTGGAATGGCCGCTCCAGCACCGCCAACGCGATGTCGTTGTAGAAGGTCTGGCGGTTGAAGTTCTCGTGGCGATACAGCCCGCTAATCGGTCGCATCTGGTAGGGATGCAGCTCCGTCTGGCTGTTCAAGTCCCAGTCACCAGCCCGCGCCAGCAGCGAGTCCTCACTGTAGTTGGCCACGTTGTGGGCACTGGTCAGCACCAGTTGCGGGTGGATCAGGGAGCCGCCGCAGATGTAGTTGCCCTCCATGTCCATCAGGGCCACCATCCAGGGGAACTCGGCGAAGAAGGACTCGCCGTCGTTGTAGCCATCCAGCTGGTAGTAGAGTCCCTTGGAGTTGCTGTAGCCGCAGCCCTTGGACTGGAAGTCCTTCAAGTCGAGCTGGATGGGATTGTGACCCTCCTCGATCTGGATAGGGTAATCAAAATGATAAGTATAGAGCACGGAAGAAAAATGAAAAATTGTAATTCTGAAATCGTTCAATTACTATAGATCGGAATAAATTAGTATATGTTATTTCCCTTTTGTCCCGATTGTTCCTATGGCAGCAATATTACACAGTCGTCCGATTTTTATAAAACTAAAAAAAAACTAAAGCATAAAATTGCTTAAAAATACTATACCTTTTAGTGTATTGATATATGTACAGAAACCACGAAGTTATTTTTTAATTTCACTTTTGCGGAGAAATGGACAGGCAGACAGACGGAAGGAGAACGGACGGAAAGACGGAAGTCATGGCTATATCAACTTGCCTGGTGATGCTGATCAAGAATATATATACTTTATGGGGTCGCAATCGTGCCCTTCGCTGCGTTGGAAACTTTTGACTTAAATTATTATAAGCTCTGCAAGGGTATAAAAATGGATGCAAAACAACAAAATCAAATAATGACTTAAACGTTAAGCCTGATCTATTCATTACTTCTAGAATATTGGACTATTTTGACACATTATGTCAAATATAACCACTAAACAAATAAACCATATTTAGATTACAAATATTTATAAAACATAGATGCTTTAAAGTTTGGGAAATTTATTTCTGATTAACCACAAGGCAACCAAATTATCAACCGGTCTTCCAGATTTTTAGAATGACTAACGATTTCGACCACATTTAAATGAGCATAAAAAAACAACCACACAGTGTCTAGAAGTCCAAGGTTTTTTTTTCAAAAAAACCCCAACCTAACATACAATTATCTGCGCTCGTGAATTGGACTTGATTCTCTAACTGACCCCTCTAGTAGAAAGTAGATCCAGAAATCAAATCACAATCTTTTTTCATTTTCGGAGAAACACTTGCTTACACAATGGGTTTAATTGTTAAATGCTTTATTTATATAAAATCTAAGATTTTAATATTAAGCAATTTGAATATGAATAAATTAGGATATTTTGTTAATAGCAACAAAACCAGGAAATTATGTGAGTGTACGAATAAAGTAATGGAATGTTAATTTTTTAATGATCGGAGAAAACTCTGTTTAAGTTATGGTATAGCGTGTTTGACTTCATTGGCGGCCAATATAGCCCCTTACCTGCTCGTCCAGCGGACAGCACTCCTCCACGGATCGGCATCCGAAATTGGCATCCTCGCTGATTCGCGGCCTGATGATGTACCGGCCATTTTCGTTGACCGATCCGGTGGTGCAGAGGTGACGGGGCACACATTCCCGCCTGAAGCCGCAGCTCCTGTAGCCCTCCTCTTCCTTTTTGGCGAACTTCGGTGTATCATTCGCTGCGGCTTCTAAGGGGGTTCTGCGAAAACCTCCAGGGATTTACCAGGCGCTGATAGGCGTCGAAGCTCTCCAGCTGCACCTTCTCGCAGCAGACCACTCCGGTTCCACAGCTGTTGTCCAGTATGCGGCTGACCAGCTTCCCCTTCCCGGAGTCGTCCGTCTCATCGCACTTCTTCTTGCTAATGCAGATCTCGTGGCTCTGGCAGGTGCGCACCGCAACACCCAGCGAAACCAGCGAAACGAGCAGCAGACTGATGACCAACACTAGCTCCACTTGCATGGCGATGACTGGAACGGAAAAACACGCACTCATTCACCCCGTCCAAACGGCCCCAACGGAGCCACACAATGAGCAGCCCACAATCGGTGTGAAATCAGAACGATTCCGACTCACCCTCACAGTTCCAAGCGGACCGATGCGCAGTTTATTTTGAGTTACGTTCAAGAGCCGCAACACGTTTTCGACTGACTCTGCCCGCGCAGCGATCGGCCGTATTATGCGATCAGATCGAGAATGCCTGCTCCCCTGAGATTATTCAAGACGCCAATTGCTCCCAATCATTTTTCTCTCACTGAATTCGATTTTCAGCTCTCTTCCGGTCGATGCGTCTCAGAATCTATAGAGCCGGTTTTAAAATGATTTCAATTTAACTGCAGCCGTTCAGTTGACTTCGGAAAACACAAGCTATAATACTGACTTCTGGTCAGTGATATATTTATATAGTAATTTCTATATAGTACTTTTCCTTATATACTCCTAAATATGCGCACACATAAATGCATTGGGTGAAACCTTCCAATAAATATAATGTAATGGATGCGATTTAATAAAATATAGTTTTAAATGCAGCTTCACTTAAAATAAATATTTGTGAACAAAGAAATTAAACGGCAATAGTCACTAAAAAAATAATGGCGAGTATTGTAGATATCGCACGTTAATTACATGTGAAACGAACTAGGTTTAATAATATTTGTACACAATTTGGCCAGAAGTTTTTAACGCATTGAAGGAGACATTTAAAAACCACTAAAATATTCCAAATTGTTTGGTTTTCGAGAAATGATTCGTATATGTCACTGTTTGTTGGCTAATAGATGGTGTAATACCATTACGGATTCATCCCTTCAGTTGCATACATCTTTTAGCTCTCGTATATGTATCTGTAAAACTTACGGTTATACGCAGAAGACCAGTGCAGTGTATCTTGTTATAAATTTACGTTAAAATGCAAGGTTACAAGACACATTGTCTTAGATGAATTTTACATAGTGTTAAAATGTGAAACAATACAAGAAGAATAAGAACAGTGCACAATATTACAATCCAGTGATGCCTGATAACCTCCATTGGGCATTGTCCGAGATAAAGGTTCCATTTATTTTTATACCCTTGTAATTTTGGTCAAAAGTGTGCAAAGCAGTGAAGGAGACATCTCCGATCCTATAAGGTATATACATATATTCTTGATCGGGAGTGCGTCCTGACTTGATATAAGCATGTCCGTCTGTCCGTCTTTCTGTTTCTACGCGAACTAGTCTCTCAGTTTTAAAGATATCGGATTGAAACTTTGCACACACCCTTCTTTCCTTTGCACGCAGTATATAAGTCGGAACGGCCGGGATCGGACGACTATATCCTATAGCTGCCATATAACTGATCGATCGGGAATGCCATAACTTTGGCGTTTGTCAAGTTAGGAAGTTGGGATTTTATATGCGTTTTATTTTTGGCCAATCAATCCAACCTACCAAATATCATAAGGTTCGGCAGACTATATCGTATAGCTGCCATATAACTGAACGATCGGAAATGCCATAACTTTGGTGTTTGTAAAGTTAGGAAATTGGGATTTTTATGAGTATTAAGAATGCATTATATGAATAATTTTGGAGAATATAATTTACAGAATATTCTGCAACAATATTCGGCTCCGCCCGAAGTTAGCTTTCCTTTCTTGTTTATTCTCTGTTTCATCTTTTCTTCGCTCCAACAGCTTGCAAATAGCGATGATGAGTAGGCTTATCTCCGTGGTGTTGCTCCTGCTGGCCCTTAATCCCGGCTCGAAGGCCCAGGACTCCAGCTCGGCATTGTGCCACCAGGACGAACTGTGCACCTCGGTCCAGCGTTGCGAGGAGTCGGACGACTCCGGGCGAAAGTTCATTGGCCCGCGGATCTCCCGCTTATGCGGTGTCGGAAGGATCTGCTGTGAGAAGGCGCAGCTGGAGAGCTGGGACATGCATGCCTCCAATCCACAGCCGACCCGCTCCATCACCCTGATCCAGAACAAGGTTTCCCCCTTTTCGGAGCCTCTGCTGAATGAGAGTTGCGGCCTGAACAAGAAGTGCATGCCCAGGAAGCTCTGCCGCGACAACGTCATCAACGACCCCGGAATCGAGCTCATCAATTCCAGGATCAGCTCCATTCCGTGCAGCAGGGTTCTGTACCGCTGTTGTTCATTTGACCAGTCAGTAAGCCGCACAATATTAAATATTCATTGGCCCAAATAACTTTTCGTATATTTCCAGGAGGATGCCTTGTATGGATAATTTTGTAGTGTACCCAAAGTCTAGACGTGGCGGTTCTGAGCAATGGATAATCTTGCCATATTACAAACTTTTGAACATTCTGTCATCTGATGTGAATAAAAATGGAGTTGGTCCCGTATCTTTTGTTTTCTTTGTTCCATTCCCAGATCTGAGAATTACTTGCATTGCGATTGGACGGATGGGAAAACCCAGAGAAATTCACAGTACTTATAAGCCGAACGCTCTCCTAATATTGTTCTCTTGGGCGATTCTAAAACGCGACGATCGTGCGTCTCAAAATCTCTCAAGCCGGTTCTATAAATATTTTGAAATCAACTCTAGCCGTTCAGTCTACTTTGTGAATCAGACGCTACCAGATTGTCTTTCGATCGCTGACATCCATACACATTAATCTCCTTAGCATATAGGTATATAAAGCGATTATACAGCCCCGCATATGCGCATACATAAGTGCATTACTTGTAAGCTATATTATATATAATAAATCGAGTTTCAATGCAAAACGATGGACTTGCAGTTCCGTTTCGAAATGTTGTTTAAAAAGTGTTTGTGCTAACCAGCAGTTAAAAGGCAATGCAATAAACGGACTCGTGATTTTCTTGTGATTTCTTAATACGTCTAATAATAAAAACATTGAGGACCAAATTTATTTCGCTTACAAATGCGTATATAAAAAAGTAAAATGCAGTTGCATTTCAAGGGGACTTTTCAAGAGTGTTTGTGAAAACTAAGAATGCATTCGTTTTGCACTTTAAATCAGATTACCAAGGAGATGAGAAATCGGGCAATAAACCGAGGACCCGAAACAATCTTATCTCAATTATCATTTACGAAATTTGTGTAAATCGTTTTTGTTTAATTAAATTATCAGTGCACATTTTTACAATCCAGTGATGCCTGATAACCTCTATTGTGCATTGTCCGAGATTAAGGTTCCATTTATTTCCTAATCTCTGTTTCATCTTCTCTTTGCTCCAACAGCTTGCAAATAGCGATGATGAGTAGGCTTATCTCAGTGGGGTTGCTCCTGCTGGCCCTTAATCCCGACTCGAAGGCCCAGGACACCAGCTCTGCATTGTGCCGCCAGGACGAGCTGTGCACCTCGGTCCAGCGTTGCGAGGAGTCGGACGACTCCGGGCGAAAGGGCATTGCCCCGCGGATCTCCCGCTTCTGCGGTGTCGGAAGGATCTGCTGCGAGAAGGCGCAGCTGGAGAGCTGGGACATGCATGCCTCCAATCCACAGCCAACTCGCCCCATCACCGCGATCCAGAACAAGGTTTCCCTCTTTGCGGAGCCTCCGCCGAATGAGAGTTGCGGCCTGAACATGGAGTGCGTGCCCAGGAAGCTGTGCCGCGACAACAACGTCATCAACGACTCCGGAATCAAGCTCATCAATCCCAGGATCAGCACCATTCCGTGCAGCAAGTCCCTGTACCGCTGTTGTGCCGTGGACCAGCAGGTGAGACCAAGATCAGTTGTAAAATCCGTACCATGCCATTACGTTTTGCAACTCTGCAGGTGGAGGACAGCCAGAGCCCGTACGTGGAGAAGGAGGCCAGCTTTAAGTACAAGAACTGCGGCTACAGCAATCCGCAGGGCCTGATCCCCGACAACGACAAATTCAACTACACGGAGGACGTCTCCATTTTCGGCCAGTTCCCGTGGATGGTGGGCATCTTCACCGGGCGCCAGGACTTCCTGTGCGGCGGCACGCTGATCCACCCAAGTCTGGTGATCACCTCGTCCCACAACCTGATCAACGAGACGGTAGACACCTTGGTAGCCAGAGCCGGCGACTGGGATCTTAACAGCCTGAACGAGCCGTACACGCACCAGGGCAGGCGCATCAAGGAGATCATCATGCACCCGGAGTTCGACCCGGAATCGCTGTTCAACGACATTGCGATCCTCCTGCTGGAAGAGCCCATCAACCTGGGGCCCCACATCCAGCCGCTGTGCCTGCCGCCGCCGGAGTCGCCGCAGGTGATCAACCAGCTGCTGGAGGCCACCTGCTACGCCACCGGATGGGGCGCCAAGGAGGCCGACAGTGACAAGCTGGAGCACGTGCTCAAGCGGATCAACCTGCCGCTGGTGGAGCACGACGAGTGCCAGGCCAAGCTGAGGAACACGCGCCTGGAGGCTCGCTTCCGGCTCCGCCCGAGCTTCCTTTGCGCCGGCGGGGTGGAGGGCAAGGACACCTGCAAGGGCGACGGCGGCTCGCCGCTGTTCTGCACGATGCCCGGGCAGACGGACCGCTACCAGCTGGTGGGCATCGTGTCCTGGGGCGTGGAGTGCGCCGTGGAGGACATCCCGGCCGTGTACGCCAATGTGCCGTACCTCCGCAACTGGATCGACGCGAAGATCAAAGGACTTGGTATCGCAATACAGGCTACATAAGCTAGGAAACAACTGTGCAAACTAAAAATATGAAATATAAAAAGTATTGGAATATCTAAAACTTACATTTCTTTTCCATTTTCAGGTGTCATTCAAATCCTAAGAAATGGTCAAGTCTTTTGATTGTATGGGTTAACCAAAGTGCATTTGTTTTTTAATATCACAAATTGAAAATCAGCTGTGATGGAAAGGTATTGCTTTAACGTTGACCATACCAAGACCTAAAGAAACCCAATTATTTTAGGAAACAACAATGAAAGTGAAAGAGAGAAAATTGTACTATTTTGGGCTGGTTAAACAAAGGTTTCTTAGTGTATTTTGGTTGTAATCTTGTTGAAAACACGCATTAAATAACAGTACAAATGATTCGATGGACCTTTCGAATGTTATTCAGAAAACAAAAAATGAGATGAGTTTTCTTTTCTCGGTTTCAAAAAAAATTTGGGATTTATTTTTGAAGCCTGAGATTTATAGGAAACAACTAATCTTCTTACGCCCATAGCTTCTAAAACCCTAGTTGCTTATGCTATATGTCGTTTAAACGGTATTTTGAAATGCTAATCACGCTGCCTTTACTTTGATTGTTTAAATACAATAGTTTTAATATAAATATAACAATAGGTTTTTAAAATAATGTTCCCTTTTTGGCTATTTTCTCAAAAGCGATCATTGATATTCTTTAAGGAACGGTAACATGTATCAGTTCAGTCCAATCAACACTGCCAAACATAAAATTTCGCCAAAAAGTATACACCATTTGGTGAGGAAAAGGTCATATTAAAATTTTTATTAACATTAACTTGATTTTCTTCTAGGCTAGAACGAACAAAATATAAGCAAATATCTTAAAAACAACGATGTGTTGAAAGTTTTAATCCTTCTGTTCGTTAAGAGGTGATTTTGTTTGATTAAATGAAAAATGAGAATTCAATAAACACGACAGTTTAAACACATCCTGAAATTTATAAGAAGTGGTAACATTCAAAATGTAACAAGATTAAACAGTATGCAAGTGGTATCGTTTATTGATTATACCCGTTACTATATCTTGAGATCCTATTACAAACTTAATTTTCGAAATTAAATTATTATATAAAAAGTTCATTGAAGTCAAGTAACATAAAATGGTCAATAACGTCATACATATAAATAGGCAAATTCAAATTCATATTTATTTATAATATTTTAACAGAGTAACGGCTATATAATGGTCGATCCCTTTTGTTTTACTGCAATTTGTTTTATTTTTTTATTTTTCAATAAAGTTTTACTGATAAACTACCATTTCTTTGGACTAATTTCCTTTAAGAGTCACAATTATATAACCAGGGGTCCTTAGAAGTAAACTCAATCTAATTAATTATTTCAAACTCTTATCATTTGCAAACATTATACGCTCTCTTAAGTCTACCATATCCGCTATTTATCCGTGCCACTTCAAACTAAAACGCCGGGATAGTTTTCCATCCAGGCACTTAACTGGAACATACCTCCAAGTCACTCGATTTATTGCGATCCTTGAACAAAGGAGTGCGGCAGCATGAAATACGAGCCAAGGAACAGAGCGTCTTCGTGCCGGCAGCTTATAAATAGTCAAGCCGTGGCAGATGCCCATGTGGACCATCCTCCATTTGACACCCCCATCCGTTGATGCTCCACTTTTGCATCGCGGCCATGGAACCAAATTAACCAGGAGGCAGCCGGGAATGGGAACACAACAGGAGCAACACATCGGATGGCCAAAAATTGAGAAATTACCCGCTGGGCCGGGCAAAATGGCTGAGCGAATTGATTTTCGGGCTGCCTGCTGCTCCTCCACCTCCTGTTTCTATATAATACTCCCCTCCCTGGCCTTCCACCCCCTGTTCCCTGATTACTTGGCCAAGAGCCGGGCTAAAAACTCATTTCTCAAGTAAATTGTTTAAGCAGCTTTTGTTTTGTTTCACGTTGCTGGAATTTATTGGCCCTTTTTACGGCCCTCGCGTTTCGTATTGATTTTGCTGGTTTAATTTAGCGTCTAGGAATTGCAGTTTGCAACGAAGTTACTGCTGCTTTTATGGGTGGGATTAGCCAAATACCCGTTGCCAAGTGGTGGAATTAAAATTATATATAAATTAAAGTTTTATACTTATGCTGTTTTAAAGTAAAAAAACTTTAACCAATCAACTGTATTTGCATTTTCTATTTGTATCTATAAAGACATGTTATTAATATTAATCCCTAATGGTCTCAAAATGAATAAAAGTGAGATTAGTTAAGTTATTTAAGATATTGAAGCAACAATCATTTTTTTGTCAGAAACAAAACTATAGCGATGTTTAGTTTATTTATAACTTTAAATTGCTTCAACAGAAATACTCTTAGTTATTCAAATACCAAAATGTTACAATCCAGATACCTATTTGCTCAATAACATTTTAAATACAAGAAATTGTTAATGGTTGTACTCTCGTCATACTATAGATAAGATATTCAAGTAGGATTGTTTGTGTGTCTATGAAAAGTGATTGTAAATTCAATCAAAATCTTAAGAGTGCCATATAAATTAGGTTTTACTTTCTGTACATAAAGCCATCTTATCGCGTTGAACCTAAGGAGGTTGCTTATCAATTATATTGCTACATCTTAATTTATGATCTAAACTAATTAAGTATTATTAAGTATAAGTTATCACTAGTATTTTCAATAGACTATACATACTTGGAAAATATACGGAGAGTAACAATGGAAGAAAATCTTTTTTATACAAAATTCAGTTTTGAAAAAAAAAATCAAAAAAAATTTTAACTTTGTTGTTTTTAATTTTTTTGTTCTTTGGGATTTGGTAATATTTAAATATTAGTGAATTATGGTGTTTATAAAATAGAAATCGGACAACAATATCATATAGCTGCCATAGAAACCATAGTAATATAGGCATAGAAATCGAAATGTAGTCGATTTTTAATAACTGCAAGGGTATATAAGCTTCGGATTGCTGAATTTTGCTTACTTTCTTGTTAAAATTGAGAACACACCACCGAGTTTATATTGTAGTTTTTATATGATTGCTGTATTTATTCAGAGTATTTAGTAGGAAATGCCGGTGTGGTCGCGGATCCAGTCCAGGTATCCGGTGACGCGGGTGAAGCCAGCGGGCCTGCCGGCGGTGCAGCCCTCTCCGCTGCCGAAGGACACGATGCCCACGATGCGGTTGCCCTCGTGCAGGACCAGAGGACCGCCGGAGTCGCCGCTGCAGGAGGACTTGCCACCCTCGGTGTTGATGCAGATGGTGTTGTCCGTGACGTAGTTGCCCCCGTAGTAGTTGCGGCAGTCGTTGTTGTCCAGGATCTGGACATCCACGCTGTTCAGGTAGTTGGACATGCCGCTGTCGTTGTTGGTCAGACCCCAGCCGGAGGCCACTGCCCACCAGCCGGAGAAGCTGTTGTAGCGATCGTTGTAGCTGGGCAGCTCCACCTTGTTGACCAGGCTCCAGAAGTCCACGTGGGGGATGCGGATCAGGGCGATGTCGTTGTTCAGGAAGTCGTTCCAGTCGGGGTGCTGGATCATGTCGCTGCGGCTCACCCAGTGGGTGTACTGGGCCTCGTGGCGGAAGCTGGCTCCGAAGTAGATCAGCACGTGGCTGGCGCTGTTCGTGCAGTGGGCGGCGGTCAGGACCCAGTTGTGGCCGATGATGGAGCCACCGCACCAGTACCCACCGTCGTTGAAGCTCAGGCCCACAATGTAGGGCACCTTGCCCTCGTAGGCCGGGTAGCCGTTGGTGATGCGACCCTCGATCTTGCCGGCGCGGGGCATGTCCTTCACGGCCACCGCCTTGGCAGGCGCGGCGGGCAGGACACTGGCGGAGGCCACAGCCAGGCAGGCTAGGAATACAAGAAGCTTCATGTTGGTCAATCGACAACTGCCGAGCAAAGGCCCATGAACCCCCTTTATACGACTGCCTTATCGGCGCTCAGCGGAAGTCAATTTAACTTTTATTCCCAATCATAAACTACGGCTGTTTTGAATTTTGAGGAGCGCCGAAAAGTATTAGATAAGCTATCAGGGCAGTATCTACCGCACATGTCCTAATAGGTCGAATAAATCATACCTTAATGGTACTCAGAAGTGTTTGCAGCAAAGAATTTAAAGCAATAAGATAGCTTTTTATTTTTCTGAAAATCATCACATGCGGATAACAAACGATCGGTGATTTTAACAAAAAACAAGAAAGGAAAGCTAACTTCGGGCGGAGCCGAAGTTGATATACCCTTGCAGAATACTCTGTAAATTATATTTTCCAAAATTATTCATATGATGCATTCTTAATACTCATAAAAAATCCCAACTTCGTAACTTTAAAAACACCAAAGTTATGGCATTTCCGATCAATCAGTTATATGGCAGCTATAGGATATAGTCGGTCGATCCTTATGAAGTTTGGTAGGTCGGATTGATTGGCCAAAAATAAAACCCATAGAAAATCCCAACTTCCTAACTTTACAAACACCAAAGTTATGGCATTTCCGATCAATCAGTTATATGGCAGCTATAGGATATAGTCGGCCGATCCTTATAAAATTTGGTACGTCGGATTGATTGGCCAAATATAAAACACATAGAAAATCCCAACTTCCTAACTTTACAAACACCAAAGTTGTGGCATTTCCGATCGTTCAGTTATATGGCAGCTATAGGATATAGTCGGCCGATCCCGGCCGTTCCGACTTATATACTGCGTGCAAAGGAAAGAAGGGTGTGTGCAAAGTTTCAATTCGATAGCTTTAAAACTGAGAGACTAGTTTGCGTAGAAACAGACAGACGGACAGACAGACGGACAGACGGACAGACGGACATGGCTATATCAACTCAGGAGGTGATCCTGATCAAGAATATATATACTTTATATGGTCGGAGATGTCTCCTTCACTGCGTTGCACACTTTTGACCAAAATTATAATACCCTCTGCAAGGGTATAAAAAAAGGTTGAAAGACTTAAGAGCTATATAAAGAACTTGTTCGCAAACTTAAAAGAGAATATGAGGAGCGTTTCGTGCATAATTATAAATTAACTATTTCCC